CATAAGCTTTTGTGAGCTGCAGCCTTTTAATAACATTTGATAGGTGGAAAAGTTGCTGCCAGCCCCTCCTGGTCATGGCGAAGAATGCTACTAAAATGAAAAGGATTGACATTTTGTTTTTCTAGTTTGGTTGACATATATGTAATCCAACACAGGACAGATAATAGCATTAGAAGTTTAGAGAGCAGCAAATATCGTTCCTTTCTTCAAAACTGAGTAAGTGTATTTGACAAAAAATTCTGGTCAAAACTCTAAAACAATATACAGTATTAAGCTTGACCGTAAAGCAGGGGTCCTCGAGCCGCAGCCTACTACTGGGCCATGGCCTATTCAGAACCAGTCCGTGTGAATGGCAGGCCAGCTTGACCTGTGCGAGCAGCAGGCCACCACGCGTGCACAGCTCAACTTGTGCAAGTCAAGCTGTGCGCAGGTGTGTGCGTGCCAACCCACCAGTCGTGCAAGTCGAGCTGTGGCGCGTGCATGCGCTGGCCTATAATTCATGCGACCCGATTCCCCTCTTCCTCCCAGGTGGGCCTCCAAGCCACAAAAGTGGGGGACCGCTTCCATAAAGGATTAATTCTAGATGGGGAAAATGCCCACAATCTTGACACGGTTGTTTTAATACCAGGAAATACTAATCAGCCAAAGGCATGAGCTACAAACAGACTTTCCCAAGTAGTTGGTAATGTCACTGAGGACTCATCTTGGTCAGTCTGATGTCTGATGTGGTAGCTGGGGCATTATCTACTTTGTCTCCCTGAAAATAAGCCCAGGTCTTATATTAATTTTTGCTCCAAAAGATGCATTAGGGCTTATTTTCTGGTTGGGTCTTATTTTTGGGGAAATACGGTACTAAATGCATCCATCTGGCTGACAATCTTAACTGGGGTTATTTTGGGGGTAGGGCTTATATTACAAGCATCCTGAAAAATCATGCTAGGATTTGTTTTCCGGTTGGGTCCTATTTTCGGAGAAACAGGTTAGCTATTTTATCCAAGATTTCTTTTGGCCTGTAGATTCTGAGGAAATGGGGAGTGTGCTCTCTGATTTGACCTGTGTTGCTTGTAGATCTGAGCCATGAATCTCCTGCTCCTGCATAGGGTGGTTAGAGGATGGCAATGAATGTAGGAGGCTGTAAGTGCCTCTTTTGCAGATAGGGCAATGCTAACCTTTTTTTAGCCAGCCAGAAGGAACTAGAGAGCAGATCCCATGTGCAAGAAGGAAGATGTGCAAGTTCTGGGCTCCTTTAACTTACTCAGAGGAGATGTAGGGTTTTTTTTTTTTAATTTGATTTATATGCCGCCCTTCTCCGGAGACTCAGGGCAGCTTACAGTGTGTTAAGCAATAGCCTTCATACTTTTGTATATTTTATACAAAGTCAGCTTATTGCCCCCACAATCTGGGTCCTCATTTTACCTACCTTAGAAAGGATGGAAGGCTGAGTCAACCTTGAGCCTGGTGAGATTTGAACTTGCAGTAATTGCAGGTTTCTTGTCATACAATTAACAGTGGCCACCCGTTTGCTTTTGCTCACCCTGAAAAGCCATTGATTGGTAGAAACTATCAATGACAACAATAGCTCCTCCCTCTACCTCCATCAAGGAAGCCAGACAGCTGCCAAATCATTATCACTTCATTTTCTTTAACATGTAACATGCCTCCTCTGTTCCACCAGCATGAAGATGGGAAACCCAAGAAATTCAAAATGAAGGGAAGGAAGGCAAACCCAGATAGGTTGGTTACAGGTCCTAGCTGAGCTATTTAGATCTAGCAAAAGGCCACAGGAACTCCCAACTGCTGGGCATCAAGATTCTTTGGTAGTTTGGCACACCCAGACTGGAAAGATAGTGCCTAGAACTGAATTTTATTCTCCTTTCACTGAGATACTCTAAGAAAGCAACCAAGTTCAGAGAGAACTCAAGGAGTCTTCAAATAAGATTCTAGAGAAGACAGAGTCTCAGACCAAGAAAATCTTGGGATGATTCCCGTTCTTCTCCCATTTTGTAATCTTTGGAACATTTTGATTGCTATGCTTGAAGCAAAAGAAGAAAGAACGGGCTTATAGATATGGAGGGTCAATGCAGGAGGGAGGGAATTAACATCCTGTTCAACCCCATCTTCTAAATAAATAAATAAATATATATATAAGTTTAATTAAATAAATAAATATATAAATTTAATTAATTAAATATCTTCCTAATGTGGTGACGAACCCAAACCCAGACTAGTGGGCAGGAACAGAAACTATGTGGTGCCCCAGAGATTCATCCAATGGTTCATTCAGACTATGAAGAGCAAATTTTAGGGTAAGAACTTGAAGAGACCAGAAGTAGCCAGTAAAGATATTCTATAACTAGCGTTGGACGCCCCTGCTTTGCTATGAAACTATGTGCTCGGGTTTGATAAATTGACACTTGCAGCCTGAAACTTAATGTAGAATGTGTAACTCCGTAGCATCAGAGTGTGTTAATATAATGCAACTGGCAGTTGGAACAGAGGGGGAGGGGGAGTAGAATGTCCCAGCCTGCAGCATCCATCGGTATTCATCTGGCTAGCATCCTGTCAGTGTGTGAGAGAGTTGAGGGGTGTTTGGAAACTCACACAGTATTTGCTGTGCGAGCAAGAAGGAGACAGGAAGGAGGCTGGCCATGGCTTAGCTCAACTGTTCTGTAGTAAAGCTGCTTGCTGCTGTGAAAGTAAAACTGAAACTGAAACTCCTTTGCTTATGTTTTGCATTTGGAACAGATTTGTTTTCAAGTGGGGAGGGGGAGTAGAACTCCTTAGCAGCAGAGTGTGTTAATAATAATATAGGAAATACTAATGCTCTGATGGTCATTTCGAAAAATCTTTTCTTAGTGAGCACCTAGAAGCCAAGAGGAACATACGTGACAAATTTCAAGTTTGTAGGCTTTACAGTTCCGGAGATTTCGTGATTAATGTGTGAGTGGTTTTCACTTTTATATATATAGATAAGGTAGTGAATATCAAATCTATTAGGGTCTAGGACAATGGAACATGTCTACCTTAACACACCCACTTCATCTCGAGACCCCCACTGTAGATTACCCAACACGGTCATTCTTACTCGACTGGCTCTGCATCAGCAGTCCTCTCCCACCATTGGTCCAGCAGTGCTCTAACCCCACCCCTTCATCCCGGGTGTTTCACAGAGGGATACTTTTCTACGGCCAATTGGCTGTGTGGGATATTTAAACGTACCGGGTCTCCCCGTTGACTTTGCTTGTCAGAAGGTTGCACAAGATGATAACATGACCTTGGGACACAGCAACGGTTGTAAGTATGAACCCAGTTGCCAAGCGCCTGAATTTTGATCACATGACCATGGGGCGGCTACAAAGCTTGTAAGTGTGAAAAAGTCACAACAAGGTTTGCTTGCCCTTAAAGCTAAATGATAATGGACGAGTTCATACATTACAATTAATAAAAAATGAACAAATTGTATTATACTGTTGCATGAACCATCTTCCATGGAATAAAGATGATTGTTGTATTTTAGATTGAACTACTGCATATACAGTATATCAAACATTACACTTGTTTATCCAAAAACATTTGCAAAAATTATAGAGATATTGGCAGTATTTTCTTCATTAGCTTATTCAAGCTTTTATACTAAGAGACATTATTTTGCTAGTTAGAACATTGAAACTGTTGATGATTGCAAAATTAGAATTCTAAAAAGATTCAGTGTTATTTCAAAGAGTTCATGAAAATAATTGCAGTGATTCAATCTGGTGTCTGTCTACTTTTTATCATGCTGATATGTACAGTACTTAAGCAATGCTCGTGTATGCAAAATGGCAATTGCAATAGCACTTAGAGCTCTCTCTAAGTGGTTTACAGAGTCAGCCTATTGACCCCAACAATCTGGGTCCTCAGTTTAGTCACCTTGGAAGGGTGAGTCAACCTTGAGGCGATGAGAATCAAATTGCTGGCAGCCAGCACTCAGCAGAAGTAGCCTGCAGTACTGCATTCTAACCACTGTGCCACTATGGTTCAAACTAATATATTCTGTATGTGCCCTGGATTATGGATACTGAATTTCAGTATTTTGATGTCAGTATTGAAACGTGTAGGATATTTTTGTTCCATTCAATCATATCCAATTCTCAGAGACTTATCTGGATAGGTCCGTCCAGTTTTCTTGGCAAGTTTTTCAGAAGTGGTTTGATGGTTATACTGAATGATTTGATTGTTTGGGTAACTTAGCTACTGAATGTGTCATGTTTTTAATGTGATTTTATAGGTTTTTTTTATTTGTATCTTCTTGGTGGTTGTTGTTTTTTTGCTGATTTTTAAAAATTATTGTAAACCACCCAGAGTCATGCATGTGAATAAATCCCAGTTTTAGGGGCTGCAGAAAACAGTTCTGAGGTTGAATACCTGCTTCTGGAGTAAAACCGGGGGTTCAGCAGGGTTTAGGTGATTCTCTAGCCAAGGATCTCCGGGGTTCAGTGACCCCCCAAATGCCACCCCTGGCAGGCCACGCCCACCCCCTCCCCTCCCAGGAGTCTCCATGTGGCCCGTTCATCATTCCCGGTAAATATAGGGGCCATGCAGAGGGTCTGGGAGTGCAAAAAATGGCCCTCCTGGAAGGTCCTGAAGGCTGGAAATGGGCTCGTTTCCGACCTCCGGAGCCCGGGGGAAGCAGTTTTCGCTCTCCCAGAGGCTCGAGGTAAGCCTCCGGAGCCTGGGGAGGGTGAAAAATGCCCCCCCCCACACCATGGTGCAGGCAGCCCACCATGGCCACGCCCACCCAGCAATGGGGCAGCGAACCCGTTGCTAAAGGATCTGAAGCCCATCCCTGAGTAAAACTTTAATGATCTGTCCTCTAGTTTGAAGTTTATTAAATGAAGCCTTTGTAGAAGACTGTGCTGAAGACCACCCTAATGGCTGAGAGCAGAGGCCATTTTGACTTGCTTTTATCTTTGCAAAGATGCCCAAAGACTTCAACCTTGTTTGTTTACCTCTAATTGCAGATATGAGAAGGTCCCTGTAATCTTGGTTGGAAATAAAGTGGACTTGGAGAGTGAGCGAGAAGTTTCATCCAGTGAAGGCAGAGCCCTGGCTGAAGAATGGGGTTGTCCTTTTATGGAGACGTCTGCTAAAAGCAAAACCATGGTGGATGAGCTCTTTGCAGAGATTGTCAGACAAATGAACTATGCCTCTCAACCAGATAAAGATGACCCATGCTGCTCTGCATGTAATATACAATAGCATTCCAAGGATGGGATTGGACCTAATTTGCTGTATTTGGGTAAGGTGACAGAATAGACTATTTCACTCTGTGATTTAAAATTGGTCAAAAATTCAAAGTGGAGTAGCACTGAAACTCCAAGTGAAAGATAAATAGTGATCAGTTTAATTAAAAAAAAAAAAAGAAATTGAGAAGCTTTATTTTCCTGCAGCACATCTTCTGCATGTTCTACTCTCTGGCTTAGCCAACAGATTACAGGGTGAGCACAATCCGTGCACATTGGCTTGTCAGTTAACAGCTACTTGCTTTAAATTAAGAAAAGTTTTCGGTGAAAAGGAGCGCACCAGCAAAGACCTTTTGCACTCTGCCTATTATTCTGTACTGATAAGTAAAGATTTAACAAAAGGTATCTACTTACTGAATTTCAGGACTTTTATCACTTGTGGCCAAATCAGTCAAATATGCTAATTTTATTTTTGACGCAAGTGTTGATAAATTTATTGGCAAACTAATCTACAGTTCTGTTATTTCCTTTACATTCATTATTTTCTGTGATCCCATGATGCAAAAAGGAAAATGCTCCATCAGTACTTGAACGGAAAGAGAGAAGCTCTGGAAAAAAAAAAAAAAACCAACAGCTTGTAAAGAGAACACTGAAACATTAAAATATGCTAAATATTCTTCATTGTTGCTCAGAAAATGGTGGATTGCTTCAGCTGCTGTTCAGTCAAGATACCAAACCAGCCCTTGCTTTACAGAGCAGGAAATGCATTAATCTCTTTACTGATCCAGGAAGAAGCAACCATGACATGATGGGGTAAAAAGAATTGTTTGGCCTTACTAATGAGGAACATTGCTAGCACATTAACAAGTACCACCTTGTAAGGAAAATGAAGCCATGTTGTATTCAGACGTTCCTTTTTGCAGAAACCTCACGGGGGCTGTAAAAGCATCCTATATTTTTTAGTTTTAAGGATACCAGTTTATTTTTTTGCCTTTAAGGGCTGTGTCTTGGATGTGATATACTAATTGAGCTATGGAATTTAATTTTGCCACTTTATTATATCTTTACTGTTGGCGATTCTGGTTAACTGTGTAGAATTACTTTGTCTCAGAAGGTGAATACAAAATATTTTAATTCCATGTGGGAATGAGAAAAGGATTTGTGTCTTCAGTTGCCTAACATGCTAGTCAGGTGCTGCCATTAAAGTGATCCTGTTGCCCTGGTTATTGCTGTGACAAATAGTGAGTGAAAGCATTGTTTTAAAATGGTGGCTCAGCCTCTAATTTTAATTTAAATAGCAGTGAAATACTTAAAATTTGCATGACTTAACAGCACCAATTATATCTATTATGTCTTACAATCAAGGAAGTTTCCAATCAGAAAGTCTTAAGATTGAAATGGTGGAATGATAATGGACCTTGATGGATAAATTGGCCTTTAAAATACAATATCACTGAGCCTATGGTCCAAATACTATCCTGAAAGATTGGTTTCTCAATCTTGTGAAGTAGTTCTGTAATTTCTTGTGTAGATGAGTGGAAAGGAATGTATGTTCTGTGTATGGATGTGTGAGTGTGTTGGTGAGTGCAACTTTTTACAAATGCTGTAATGAACTTGAGTTCTGAGATTTTGCCTTGATCAGCAGAAAAACAAACTGCAATCTAAAGGGTATCAAAAGCAAATGAATTTTTAAACGCCTTTTTAAAAAAAAAAAACACCACCACCACTTGGCCACTTTATACCTTACATAGTAGAACACGTTTAATTTAGATTAGATCAATTTCTAACAATAATGATATGGATGATTATTGGCTATGACTTGCCTTTGTTCTTGAATTATTTTTCCCTCATAATCAAGAGAGCAAAGAGTTGTCATTTAAACAGCGAGGTCCTGTAATAGAAATGTAATTCCTTCCCAAACCTCTTGCTGAGCTTTAAGAATTACGGAACCTTAATGCAGCTTTTATTGGCAACTTCCATGTATTAAGGTAAAAATTATGAATGATAATCTTTAAATTCTTTTAGGAGAAACATTATGCAGCAGTATGTCAGAAAATAATTTCACTGATCAAATAAAAGTGGAATAAGCAGGTATAGAAGAGTGTTGAGTGCATCTTATACTGATTAATTCCAAAAAGAAGTCCTGTATTGCATGTCAGATTATTTGATGTAAAAAGAATGAGGAGCATAAATGGCATTTCTTTATTTTTGTCAAGGCGTTATTTTAATAAGAAGCTTTGGGGGGGGAAAAAACCCGCAACTACTTTGTAGTGTATAATCTTCACTTACAATAACAATATACTTTCATACAAAAGTAGGTGATTTGCTAATTCCAAGAAACAATTTATATTCAATTTAGATTCTGTCACTGAGTAGTATATTTGACCAAAATGATATAAATCAGCAAGAGGGGATATCCAAGGCTATCAATTATAGTTACAGTTATGTGGATTCCCACTCTCTCAAGTCATGAGTGTAGACCTACAGTTAGTAGCAGCTAAAAGGGATTCCTAGTGCCAATGCAAGAGTATGTTCCTTTGTCAATCCTTACCCTTCCCAATTTGTAACAGTGAGATACTTCGTCATTTTCTGGCCATCACTGTGTTTGTAAAGATGATCTTGCCATTGGCTGTCCCAGAACACAGATTTTAAAAACTAGATCAAAACAGGCACATTCATCTTGGCCACAAGGTCATTCCGACACTATATATGCCACTATTCAAGCATACAGACAGTAGCCTCTATATGTATTGGTGACATTTTCCAATTTATCTGGTCGGCAATATTACATACCTTGGGACTGCTTGTTGAGACTAACTACCTGTATTGCATTCTAAGCAGATCCAGTAGACATAATTTGGGAAGGAGGACTAACATGCCTTAAAATATTATCAGTTCATCCAAAGACCCGATATTCTTTGCGTAGAGCTTTGTATTTTTCTGCAGTGGTGAGTCCCTCTTTTCCTTTGAAACTGGTTGGACAGCTCCAACATCTGTTCAGAATGTTTTTGTAAGATGATTCAGCACACATGGAAATATCGATAGCAGTTTCTGAGGAATTCCTCATCTGGTGGTACCAACAATAAATGCAGGTAGCCCTCGACTCACAACCGTAAATTGAGCACACATTTTTTTTGTTGCTGAGTAAAATACATTTGTTATGTGAGTTTTGCCATATTTTTCGCCTTTTCTTGCCACAGTTAAGCTGTTGTTAAATTAATAACCCAGTTGTTAAGTGAATCTAGCTTCCCCTGTTGACATTGCTTGTCAGAAGGTGTTCACATGATACGGGGACACTGCAGCCGTCATAAGCATGAACCAGTTGCCAACCATCCGAATCCTGGTCATGTGGCCATGAGGATGCTGTAACGGTCATAAGTATGAAAATTGTCTTAAGTCACTTTTTTCAGTGACGTTACTTCGAACGGTCACTAAATGAACTGTTGTAAGTCGAGGACTACCTGTACCATATATCCCTTTATTTAAAAATTGCCATTATTATTATTTTTTGGTCAGCAAACATGCTAGTATTTTCTATGTCATATATGCCGCTTAAAGGTTTAGGGTGAGGTGACGCATGGTCTTCAATATAACTGAAATAACTCCACAATAAAGCAAATTTGGCAACTTTGGGATTTTATTGTGAATTTTTCCTTTCTGAGTTTTCGATCAGGTTTTAAAAAGGGATTGCAGTGTGTTTTTGCAAATGTAACCATTGACAATTTGTCATTTCTAGAGTTGAATAAGCATCTTTAACAATTGACTGTGGACCTCTGTTACAACTGATAAATGGGGAAAAAAAATACTACATTTTATAAGTTATCAGTTGTTTAAATCGAAACTATTTCAAAATAAAACAAATTGTACATAGAACTCAATGCAAACTCAGCAGTTGTATCTGGAGTTAAATTATTTTAACAAATAAATTTATTTAATGAAATGTCTGTTGGCTCATCTTCTCGTATTCCTTTTTATTCGAGAATAAAACAAAAACCCAACTACATTCTTCACGTATTCCGAATTCAGATCTCCTTCATTAGAATGCCTCTTTAAAAAGGAACATATTTGTCATAGTGAAGAAAGTTTGCCCTGATAGTGATTCACTATTGCATCGTTATCTTGACAATACTGCTAAAATCCGTCATTATATGAATTACAGATAGCAGTAAGTACTGTACTAAATAGTTTTGGTCCTTAAGTAATGCAAGTCCTCTGATGCCAAAGACTGCTGTGGGAACTGTATATTCCCCAGCTAGGGCTGCGAAGATTGACAAATGTAGCTAATTGTATGCAGCCATCAGCTGGTCTTACATTTGATAATTGATTCCATTCATTCAGTCAGTCAGTTTTGGCCCAAGTCCCTTTGGACGACTCTAAGTAGCTTTGCTTCCATGTATTGATGTGTGTGTTACAAACAAAAGTAGCTGTATAGAGCAGTATAGACCAAATTTTCTTGTTTGTCCTCCCCCTCCCTCTTTTCACAAATAAATTTACATCTCTATGAAGTTTTCAATAGCCCTGGTCTTTTAAACTGTTTCTTCGTGTAGCAAATATTAAAGAAGACCAAAAAAAAATTACAGAATAAATGAAGGCCAATTATTCAACGAGTTCAACTTTTCTCTTTTAGGCAATACAGAAGAATCCTAAAATTGAAGCACAGACCTGTAAAAAGTTCCCATGTCAGTATTTGCATTTGTATTTAAAGCATTAATACTTTGTTCCTTAGCTAAAAGTATAAGGATGATGCTGAAATATGAACCACATAGTGCCTACTCTCAGGTTTATATCTAACACAGGATTTTCCTCCATATTGGTGGGGGACGGACGGACACACCAAGCTTTAAGAACAGATTAAAGGCACTGTGACAGAGCTGTTGTCTTCAGTGACCGCTGAGGTTGCCAAAATACCAATATACAAAAATTTTACCAAGTAGAAAATAAATAATAACCATACCAAGGATTTTGGGAAAAGAAACACAGAAATGAGCACATTACATTTTGCTGTAATTTTGGGTAAAGAGCCAGGTCTTCAGAACTCTTCGAAATAACAGCAGAGTGGGGCCATCCAGATCTTGGGGGAGGAGGGGATACCTCTTTCCAGAGGGCAGGCACTGATAACCAGAAGGAAAACTTAGGGGGGTCCTGAGATATGACATTGTTGAAGGAATCAAGCACCTCAACCCTACGGGATTGATTCAGCCGGGCAGGTTCTTTGAGAGGCGGGCAGTCCTTGAATAATCCGTCCCTATATGATGTATTTTTTTTTAAGAATAGAATAGAATTTTTTATTGGCCAAGTGTGATTGGAAACACAAGGAATTTGTCTTGGTGCATACGCTCTCGGGAGTACATAAAAGAAAAGATACATTCGTCAAGAACCATAAGGTACACCACTTAATGATAGTCATAGGGAAACAAGTCAATATAAATCTTAAGGATAACAGCAACAAGGCTACAGTCAGTCATAAGTGGGAGGAGATGGGTGATAGGAACGATGAGAAGATTAATAGTAATGCAGACTTAGTAACTAGTTTGACAGTGTTGTGGGAATTATTTGTTCGGCAGAGTGATGGTGTTCGGGGAAAAAACTGTTGTGTCTAGTTGTTCTGGTGTGCAGTGCTCTATATAACTTTATAACACCTTGAATAATCTGGAAGCAAAGTAGCAACTCCTGAAACAGCCCCCGTATAGTTAAGTCATTTTGGTTCCCACCTGGGTCCCAGGGACAGGATGGAAAGCGAGGGGGTGGACTTGAGGGCTATACTAGAAGACACCCCGACCTGTTGCATTATTGTTATGGTTATTGTTAACTGCAAAATTAAGTTCTATAGCTCCTTTTCGCTCACAGCTCATAAAAGCTGGACTCATTTAAGAGACTTAACAAGGGGCCATCCTTGGATTTTTGGCTACCATAGACTAACACAACTTTCCTACAATTTGATTACAGGTACTCATTAACTTACAACCATTCATTTAGTGATTCATCAAAGTTCCAATGGGATTGAAAAAAGTGAGTTAACGAGTTTTTCACACTTATGACGGTTGCAACTTCCCTGTGGTCACGTAATCAAAATCCAGACACTTGGCAAGTGGTTCATATTTATAATGGTTCCAGTGTCCTGGGGTCATGTGATCCCCTTTTGCGACCATCTGACAAGGTCGCAAATCATCTTTCTTTTACCATCCACAGCAGGATAGCCTGAGTGGGTTAAGTAATTTTCAGAAATATCTGGGCAGGTATAAAGTTCCTTCTCACCTCTCTAAAACCTGCCTAGGATTTCCTTCAATAAATGTTATATTTCTTGCTCAGACTCATACTTTAATTTAAATATGTAGATAACACCATTTGGTACAGCAGCCTATAACAGAAAGAACTGGCTGTATTTCTCTCTACTGCTAGTGGAGATTTATTTTTGGTTGAGAGAAATCATTGTTCTTCCATAGCAACCAGAATGGGATGTAACACCAGAAGTTGGTCTGGTAAAAATATCTCTAGATTCATCTGGGCCAATTAAGTTCCTAAAATTAAATCCATTGGCATAATGTGTTTCAATTTTAACATTATTATAAAATATAATTTGCAAATGTCAAAAACAGATTACTGTGATTATTTTGAACAAGGATTGATACTTTTTAAAAAAATCAGAGGACGAATGTAGGTTACAGCAATCTACAATTTCTTTCCTGAAATTCTGAGAAGTATTTATTTATTAAGGTAGATTATATGTGATATTCATGGCAGGAGAACCTACCTAGTGTAAAGTATCTTTTTCAAATGGACAATTATTTTTGTAAATATGATTTAAATCTCCATCAGCTAAAATTCTTCAAAGAGATCGGATTCAAATAGCAGGTATGGTTGTTTGTCCTAACTTGTCTTATTTCATTCTCACAATAATCTTGATAAGCAGTGGTGGGTTTCAAATTTTTTTACTACCGGTTCTGTGGGCGTGGCTTGGTGGGCGTGGCAGGGGAAGGATACTGCAAAATCCCCATTTCCTCCCGATCAGCTGGGACACTAGAGACAGAATAGATGGGGGCGGGGCCAGTCAGAATTTTTACTACCGGTTCTCCGAACTACTCAAAATTTCCACTACCGGTTCTCCAGAACTTGTCAGAACCTGCTGAAACCCACCTCTGTTGGTAAGTAATGCTTACAAACAGTAATTGGTATTTCCTCAGTAAATTTCATGACCGAGTTGGGAATTTAAATCTTGCTATCCCCAGTCCTAGTTTGATGCTCCTTGCACTTATACACACATCTGGATCTGATCATTTCTTATGCCTATGATATTTTTACCTATAATATTGGCCAATTTAAATTTTACTGCGACAATAGTGCTGCACATAGTGAAACATACCTTAGAATAGTTTACTTGCTGAATGTGCATTCCGTGACTTCTATATTTATTTCTTTATCTAAGCTGCCATAAATTGTACATCTCCATCTGAAATGGAATTAAGGCCACTTCTGCATCAAAATACATTGTCAATAAAGAACCTAGTAGTTTGTGGTGCAGCAGGAAGAGCCTTACAAGGAATACAGTCAGTGGTGGGTTTCAAATTTTTTTACTACTGGTTCTGTGGGTGTGGCTTGGTGGTCGTGGTGTAGCTTGGTGGGCATGGCAGGGGAACGATAGTGTAAAATCTCCATTCCCACCCCACTCCAGGGAAAGGTTACTGCAAAATCCCCATTTCCTCCAGATCAGCTGGGACTTGGGAGGCAGAGAATAGATGGGGGCGGGGCCAGTCAGAATTTTTACTGCCAGTTCTCCGAACTACTCAAAATTTCCGCTACCGGTTCTCCAGAACTGGTCAGAACCTGCTGAAACGCACCTCTGAATACAGTCAGCCACAGTGACCAAATCAGTCAAGTCAATAAAATCCAAGGAAGCGGTATCCCAAGGTCCTTTGAGAGAGATTTATGGATGTAAGGCTTGCTTGTTAAAGATTTGCTTTGCTTGCAGACTCTGCCTCTTGAGAAAACATTAAACTTTCAGAAAAAATCCCTAAGCAAATAAAAACATTTTATTCTCATGTTCCAGATTTTTTTCACTGACAACTTCAAGAATATATAGACAACCCTTATGGAACAGTCATCTTCCTTCGCAAGAAAAGGAAGAGAACCTTCTGAAGGGCTCCCTGATGATTGAAACCTATACATAAGGATCTTCTTGGTACCGAAGACAGATTTGTTAGAAGATATAGGCATAGCATAATGTTGGAGATTGATGTAGTACCATTGGCTGCCTGTTAATATCCAATATACTTCCCTGTGACAGAATTTGAAGTAGTTTTCCACTCTAACAATTACCAGTTCCTTTTATTTGGATTACTTGCTCTTAACAGGCCCAGAATAACTTGGTAGGACATTTACAGGTCCACAATGCCCAAATTAGGTGGTCAACGTAATTTTCCAACTGCTAACTTCCCCAGAAGTATCATTACTTAAGCTGTCCATTGTGCTAAAAAAAAAAGGAACCCTAAATGCTTGCCATTAGTTACCAAGATTTGCACAAGACAACTTAAAGATAATTCAACTCCTGATTGAAGGAACCTTCGGTGCCTGTGTCTCCAAAATGGGCACAACAAAGTGAAAGTAGTGTCAGACCTGCCCCAACTTAAGACATTTAGGAAAGACCCTCGACTCCATTTGATTGAAGTGATATGTTCCTTTACTAAAGTTAAGTGGTTGCAGCTTTGCATGACCAAAGTTATCATACTAATCATTTCCCATTAGAGTCATGCTTCACATCTCATATATTACACTGCTATTTTATGCAACCAATAATTTGGTCTTTCTCTATCGCTGCACTTGCCCTGTGAACAACATTCTTTGGAAGATCCAGGCACCCCCGACTTTGTTGGTGTTTTACAATGTGTTAATTATCTGGATATTTCCCACCGGCATTTGGGATATGTGGTTAAGTGAGACCCATTGTGCCATGTTTGCTGCAGTGAATTAAACAGGAAAGGTTTTTCAATAACAGGGAGGCATTTATAGGTTTTTGAATATTGATTTTCTGATTTGCATTACTGGGTTTTGGTTTTGATTTCTGTACTCTGCTCAAAGTCACTCTCGTGAGGTGGGTAGCCATATAAATTTTATAAATAGACAAATAGATGCATAGTTGCAGTATACTTTGGAGGAAGAGAAGGTGTTCCTATGGAATTCACAATTTGCTCTGGAGATGAATCTATAAATTACTAGACAATCTGTGACTTGCTGGGTCATCGATTCAGAAATATTTTCTTACCAGATTCTTCAATGCCTTCAATGATTGCAGAGCTTCTAATGTATTGCCTTGGTTGAAAAAGTTCTTTAAAATTTAGGGAGTTATTCAGAGATGTATCTGCCTTGAAAATAATCTATGTTGAACTGTACATCATAATCAAACATCAGGAGTTGACCACAGGAAATGTACTGTGCAGTGGTGGGTTGTCCCCGGTTCGCAAGAACCGGTAGGAAACCCAGCGGGAGGCTCCGCCCACTGACCCGGATGTCATCGTAGCTGATCTGCGCATGCGCAGAAGCTTTTGCGCATGCACAGAAGTGCGCACGCGCTGCGAACCAGTAATAAAGGTAAGTAGAACCCACCCCTGGTACTGTGGCATTTTGTATTATTTCATAACATCTTTTCTACATTTCACTAAATTTCAGTTCCATGGCAGTCATGGGTCTCAGATTTTGGATTCATTCTAAATCAACCCATTTGATGCACCTCAGTCCCTAGAATGCACAGTTTTACTCAGTTAAAGGTTGCACATACACAATCAGGAGAATTTTAGTTATATACAGTCTATGGAGCAAAGTGGAATACAAACACGAGTAAAAAATTAACTTGCAAATAAATATTCTAGAGGTGGTCTTTACTGAGGATTATCACATCATGGAGTTTTCGTACATCCATAGTACTTTATTATCAAACTTCAGCCTAATGTATAGTGTGTTGTTTTATTTCTATTCTAATTTTTATCCATATGTCTCTTTCAATAAATTAGGAAACATCATTAGGGATTTTAAAGAATTTTGCAGTACATCATAACTAGAACAAATGCAGGCATTTAGCTGCTAACAGATTTGCGGCATTAGAATTAAGGTCTAGGAAACATTTCATCTAACTCTCCCACCTCCAAGAATCAGAAACAGTAGAGTAATGTATTTTACCTACTGCATGAGGCAGCCATGAGATTTTAGCTTTTCTTGTTCTTTTCACAGGAACTTAAGACTGTTGCAACTTATGGTGCTTCCTAGTAGCCCAGTGATATATACTGTATATAGCATCTTTTTAAAGGACCATGTGTTTCAACAAGCACTGGATTTTTAAAAAGGTAAAGGTAAAGATTCCCCTCGCACATATGTGCTAGTTGTTCCCGACTAGGGGACGGTGCTCATCTCCACTTCAAAACTGAAGAGCCAGCGCTGTCCGAAGATGTCTCCGTGGTCATGTGGCCGGCATGACTAAACGCCAAAGGTGCACAGAACGCTGTTACCTTCCCACCAAAGGTGGTCCCTATTTTTTATGTGCCTTCGAACTGCTAGGTTGGCAGAAGCTGGGACAAGTAATGGGAGCTCACCCCGTTACGTGGCACTAGGGATTCGAACCGCTGAACTGCCTACCTTTCGATCGACAAGCTCAGCGTTTTAGCCACTGAGCTACTGCATCCCTCTAAAATGTTAGAGTACAGCAATAGAAAAACTTTCTGTATCTTCTTTAATGAATAATGTTAAGTCGAACCCTTGCCCTATAAAAGATCTTGAGCAGAACATTTTTCTATAGGTAGCAGAAAAACCAAGAGAAGCCTGCAATAGTAAGCAGGTCAACAGAATGGAAATGGACTTGCCTGACATATACACATCTTTAGTTATCAAAGCACTTCTACTCAATTTCCCATCTCTCAGCAACACTTAATTAGTTATTTGAATTTATTATACCAATATTTCATTGTTAGGCAACCTGAATACAAACCAAAGCAATTAACTTCTAAAGGAAAATTCAATGCATCAATAGAGTTTCTGTCTCTGTGTCTCTCCTTCCTCTGTCACCATGCTGTATTGAGTGGGATTCTTAGGGCACAACCCTAGACAAAGGTACTTGAAAGCACACCTCTTTGAATTCTGGTAAAGGAAATGCACTTGGTGAGGGGGCGGGGCAAACCTAAGAAAACACAGCTGGGGTGAATGGATGACATTGTCTTCCACTCACTTTCAGCTCATAGCAGATAACAGAATAATAAAATGAGAAAGAAAGGACTTCTGTCCTAAGCCGTTTTAAGTCATTTCAAGGGGATGGTCTCAAACACTTCCTTCTGATTTTGATTGGCTGTAGCATGGGGCATCCTCATTGTCCTCTAGAGCAGGGGTCCCCAACCCATGGTCTGTGGACTGGCACCAGTCCGTGGCGTACCAGCAACCTGGCCGTGCACACAAGTGAAGCCTCATCCATGGGATGGAGGCAGCACACAAAACCACGCCTCCTCCAGTCCGCGGAAAATCCTTTCTCCACGGAACCGGTCCCTGGTGCCCAAAAGGTTGGGGGCCGCTGGTCTAGAGCACGGGTGTCAAATCCGATCGCGTCATGTGACGTATTGTGATGTTTTTGTCTTTGTGGAGCCAGGGTGGGCGTGGCCTGCATGTAACACATCCGGTCCATTGGCCACCAGTTTAACAGGCCTGCTCTAGAGGCTGGCTAATGCCAGCCTCTGTTCTCTGCCATTCAGCAACCACCATTTTTAAAAAAATTATCTTGTGCTTGATCTAACAATGGCTCATTAAGATAATCGACTTCCTTGCCCCATATTTTCTTCCTTCCTTCCAGAAGCTCCTTGTTCTATTTAACATTTTCAATATTCTGTGGACATCTTTCAGTTTCTGCCCAGTTAGACAAAACGTGCCTCCTTGCTTTTCCATTCCCAGTCCACATTACATCAGTTTCCCTTTTTTTCCCCCTCCTCCCCTAAATCTTTAAGTTTCAACACAGGCATGTTGAGTGAAGTTCAAAGTTCCAGTGAATGCCACTTTGCTTCTCTGAAACGGAACCACTGAATCTTCCTCAATATGTTTCTGTGGACCTGGAGTAGAACATAGGGACAAAAAGAAAAAACATGACCCTGAGTTTTGATCATTGTAGCATGGGCACAACAATGATAAATAAGGAAGTGGGGAAAGAAAGTCTATGTTGACATTAAAGATGGGAAAGTGTAAAGACTTCCATGTGTAGAAACATCTGAGAAAGCAAAGGAAAGACACAAGCAGTAGTGACGGGTTTAACATTCAATAAAAGGAAAAGGCAGGCACCAGGAGACTTGCCCACACAAGGACTAGCTAGGAAAGCTGGTCTTCTTTGCATGGATGAAAAGAGCAGGAAGCAGGGAACAGATGCTGCAATGGCCTTCTTCTGAAATCTAGACTGGAGGCTTTAAAGGGCTTCCAGAACTGCCATAAGTAGCAAATAAGAGACACAATTTCGCCAAGAGAAATTGTCCTAGAGCAGGGGTGTCAAACTCAATTTCATTGAGGGTCACATCAGGGTTGTTTTTGAGCTCAGGGGGGCCAGGGCAGGTGTGGCCAGCTCAATGTCACAGGGTCGCCTGTGGCGGCCCAAGCGCTCTACCAGTGAAAACGGGCTCCTGATCCCCATTTTCGGCTGCGACGGCTTCCTGCAACCCTCTGCCAGTGAAAACGGAGCTCAGGAGGGCTGCTCACGGCCCTCCCAAACTCCATTTTTGCTGGCAGAGGCACTGTGAGCTGTCCTTTGTTGTTTCCAGGGCGGCCCCACGGGCCAGATTTAAGCACCCCCTGGGCCGGATCTGGCTCCCAGACCTTGAGTTTGACACTCCTGTCCTAGAGGTATAGTGCCATTCAAATCAAGAATGCCTGAAGGAAAACATATCTCTTGGTGTCCCTTGATCAATAGTGTAGCTTAATTTAATGTACATCGAATTGTAAATATTCGAACTGAAAGAAATGAGCAAACAAAAACAAGAGACACACCGCCTGCTCAACAACGCATTCACTGGCATCAGCTTTTCATGTAAGGAAGAAAGGATCAACATCTCCCCTTCCTTGATGTGGGCATAAGGAAACAGAAGAATGGCGAAATGACAACCTGTGTATATTGGAAATCTACGCACACAAACAAAATCGTCAACTTCTCTAGCAACCACCCCACAGCATACCAAAGAAGCAGACCCTCTTCAAGAGAGCCAGAACACACCACAGTACCAAATCCCTAACAGAAGCAAAGAAGAAATATCTCTTCCACCTTTTTTTTTCTGCAACGGCTATCCCAGGAACTTCACCCTGCGATGCATAACATCCAAACCCCAAAAAGCCACACAGAAAAGCACGGCACAGAAATAAGTCCTGCCATACATCAAAGGCACATCAGAAGTGGCTGCCAGACTACTGCAACCCCTAGGAATAATAATAACCCACAAACCCACGTTCACACTCAAGACAGAAACTTACAAAGATCAAAGACAGAAAGAACACAGAAGGAAGACAGCATCAACAGAATATACACCATCAGTTGCAAGAATTGTAACCAGCTCTATATTGGGCAGACAGGATGGCAGTTAAAAAATAGAATCCATGAACACCAGCTGGCTGTCAAACAACGTGACCCAAAGTCCCTGATCGCCAGTCACACTGACAACACCACCAGGTTGACTGGGAGGAAGTGTGATGTCTTCCTTGGATGACTCCCCAGATTCCTCCTCAGATGTCAGTTCAAGGGAGGATGAACCCATTCCTGGCACATCAGGAACTGACTTGATTGATGGCTTTGAACAGCCGGCTGGAAGAGGTTTGAAGGAGGCTTCAGCTGGGGAAAGCTTGCAGTGGCAGATGGTCAATGAAGAGGAGGAGGAACTGCCTTCTGCACTTGATCCAAAAACTCGTAGGGTAGAGAAAAGGCAGGAACAGCAAAGGTCAGCCAGACTATTTGAGAGGAAAAGGCCCCACCCATCTTGATGGACTGCACTGGAAAGCTGGCTATTTGTCACAGTAGATAGAGGGAGGTGTTGCTGGAAACAATGTGTTTGTTTCTAGTTTGTGTTTTTTGTCGTCTTTTTCCTGCTTCACTCTGGATGGATACCATGTTTGGAATTGATTTGTGCCGTGTAGACTCCATTTTGGCCGGCGGAGTGCTGCAGGAGGCGTTTGTCCTGTTGTCCCCCTGGCTGGCCCGTGGAGAACTACAGTGCTGAACCGGCCCTCGAAGAAATTCAGTTTGACACCCCTGTTCTAGAATTATTAAAGTTAAAGTAAAGTAATATTTACCACTATCTGCTTACTTCGGTCAGATTTTCTTGAAAGCATAGGATAAACACACTTAACAAAAGGAAAACAAATGATAAGAAAAAGGATTTGCTCTGAATATTTTCTAGATTATGAACCACTGTATTTTTATCTACTTTAGCAATACAAGGACAGATTGGCTATTGGCTGCCTGCAAATCCTTTCACTAGAATTTAAATGAACCTCAATACAAAAGTATACCAAGACTATTTAGGGTCTTAAATCAGTAATTACTTAGTGTTGTCTCTGACATTTTAGAGTTTTTTTTTCTTTTTTTAAATTAATCTTTATATTTCTGCAATATACCTTCTTAAAGTAACTTGTCACTTATCCTCCTATTGAAGTCATATTATCTTAATTTCTTTGTGGGATGGTGTGACAATCTTTATTTTTCTTCCATTCGTTCATGTCCAATTTTCAGAGAATGCCTGCATAAGTCCCTGCAGTTTCTTGAAAGTTTTCAGAAGTGGTTTGCCACTGTCTCTTTCCAAGGGCTGAGAAAGTGACTGGCCTACCCAAGGTCTCCTAGATGGCTTCTTACCTAAGGTGGGACTACAACTCATGATCTCCTGATTTCTAGCCTGGTGCTTTGACCATTGCAATGAACTGTCTCTCTGTAAGAGTCTTAGCAATATGTTAGTTCTGTAATAACTTTGATGTCTTGCTGGAAAAATGTTAAATACTTTACTTCAGAGCTTTATAGTTTCTAAGAATCTGTGAAAGCCAATATATCCATATACTGAAATACTCTTTTTTCCTTGTTTTCCCTTGAGATGATTTCTCAAGATTCACACTGTATTGATTTTCCTCTAGCCAGGTTTTTCCTACGTAACCAAGGTTTTTCTGCAGCCCTAGCTCAGTGGAATCACATCCACTCGATTCTGGGCTTTTTTCTATCTGGCAGCCAGCAAGTTCTTGCTGCCAGGTGAGAGACTTATATAGATCTATTTCTAGCTCGTTAGCCTTCATCAGTAAGCCACACCCACATCTCATGTATCCTCCCTGTAAAGGTATAATATCTATTTTCTTACTTCTTTGTAGGATTTATGTGTGTTTTTCCTCTAGCCAGGTTTTTCCTACGTAACCAAGGTTTTTCTGCAGCCCTAGCTCAGTAGAATCACATCCACTCGATTCTGGGCTTTTTTCTTTTCTGGCAGCCAGCAAGTTCCTGCTGCCAGGTGAGAGACTTATATAGATCTATTTCTAGCTCGTTAGCCTTCATCAGTAAGCCACACCCACATCTCATGTATCCTCCCTGTAAAGGTATAATATCTATTTTCTTACTTCTTCGTAGGATTTATGTGTGTTTTTCCTCTAGCCAGGTTTTTTCTACGTAAAAAAAACCTTGGCTGAAGAAAAACTTTGGTTACGTAGGAAAAACCTGGCTAGAGGAAAAAGAGGAAAAAGTTCCTGGCAAGAAAATTACAAGTTGTGGACATGTGATGTCTCACTTAATGACTGTGGCAGAAGGGAGGTCATAACAATAACACAATGTCTCACTTAATGCCCATATCATAGCAATAGAATTGCTGTTGTGGTCATTAAATGAGGACTGCTAAGCTAAATTCTTATTTTTGATTGTACATTTTATACAATATGTATGCAGGTTACAGATGCAGTATCATTACAATTGTTGGATGTAAATTTCATTAAAAATATATAGAGAAACTACTCTATCACTTTCTGCATTTCTAATAGAAGCTCTGGAATACTTAAAAGAGCCATGGGGAAAAGGGAGATCTTCCATTAGTGCTAGTAGACATCTTGATTGCTCTAAATACCTCCCTCCAGCTACATCTGCATGTTCAATCCAGCAATTGCAAACTAAGTGAAAACTTAATAATTCATATGGTAATCAAAGAATTAATAAGCAATAAGCAATTTCTAAGAATATAGGCAGTTCCCAGAAGGGTGTTTTTTTTTTTTTTTAAAGAGTGTTTGGGTCTGGTAAAAATCAGTATTTGTAGATTTTGAGGAAGTCCTTTAGGCATTGCTCTGAGGTCTCCAAACATGTTTTGTGTAACGATTGTGTAAAAAGTCCTAATTTTTCATAATTTTTAGGTTATTTTGTCATTTTTTAACAATTGTTTTTCCTTAATCCGAACATCACCTGGAATAGTAACATCAATGAACCACACTTGAAATATTAGGCATGTTATGAATAAGATGTCTATCCTTTTGGGCCTTAAAAGTCTCGTAAGATCTCAACTTGCTAATTTTTCAAAATCTTGTTCACATGATGTGGTTTTTACTACATTGAAATGTAGATTCAACATTTGTACCTTGTGTAATTCCTCCATGCTTTCCAGATTTAATATCGGGCTCCAAACATCAGTCCAGAAAGGATTTCCATTTTTAAAAAAAGATACTCAACTTTCAAAACTGCAGCTTGTTTTCAATTACAGTAATTTTTACATTCCAACGTGAAATCAGATGAGAGAAATGAACATTTTGGTGGTTAAGAAAATCTGACCAACAGGGAAAGGATGCCAGGAGATGAGCAGAGGTCTGCAGAAGCAAGATTAAGTAATTCCCTACAAAGAATGTTCATCAAACACTGTCTCTTTGTTGTTTCAAAATGCCATTGTCTTTGTAGTCCTGCCCCATTACCTCATAATTACCTTATGAGGAGGACCTGGATACATAATGCACTATATCCAATTTGATACCTTGCTGCTGTACCCAGCATTCTAATTTATAGATCCTTAGAGGGATTGTGGGGTGTGATGGCTTAGTGATTAAATACTGTTGACAGCCTGGGTTCGAGACCCAAGAACCACGCAACAGGGGGAGCTCCCGTTCCTGTCCCAGCTCCTGCCCACCTAGCAATTAGAAAACATGAAAATTCAAATAGATTAATGGATACCACTTCAGTGGGAAGGTAATAGGGTTCCACGAGTCTTTGGCGTATATGCTGGCCATATTACAATGGAAAATGTCTTTGGACAATGCTGGCTCCCTTGGCCAAGAAATGGAAATGAGCACGGCACCCTAAAGTCAGACACGATTGGACAGGGAAATCTTTACGTTTAGAGCGGAGGTGGGATTCACTTACCTTCCCTACCGGTTCGCAAATGTGAGCACGTGTGTGTGCGCTCTCGCTTTGCTTGCATGCGCCTGCTCTGCACATGCGCACGGCCTTCCACCCATGCACAGTGCTCGCATATTTTGTCCAGGCGGGTGGGTGGAGCCTTCTACAGTCGACACTACCGATTCGCCCAAACCGCGCAGAACTGGCTGCTTTAGAGGGATGTTACTGTAACTCCTCCCATCTTTAGCCCCATTTTTTTTCCAGCCCTGTCAATACAGCAATTTGTGTCTCAGTGTCATGGTCATGGTTTAACAGTATACATATTGCTAACTGCGGACCGATGTAAAATGTAGCCATGAGTGAAATACCATTAATGGTATTAATTAATGCTATTAACTATTAAATATTAATGCCACACTATAGCTTACTTCGAAGTAAGCCCAAACCTAGGGAAAATGGTTTTTAATTTATCTTTTAATTAAGCTGTTCCTGCTTAAGTTTCTTTTTCCACATGAGAAGTAGCATATTTTCTACATTATTCAAAGGTAGGTGATAGTTTATTCTGAAAATAATATCACAAGTAGGAGAGTACAATTTTACCCAAGGCGGAGGGGGAAGGATTTGCACTCCTAAATAAGCCTGTGCAGTTTGGAGGGCAGACTGGAGTGCGGTTGTATTATTCTAAGCTGAAAAACACCACAGGAAGGAGTGGAAAAAGGTTATTTGAGAACCTTCATTTCAATACCTTTAAAAATTCTGATTCGTTTTAATGCAAAACAGTTTGTACTGTTCTCACAATTCATATTTCTTGGTTACCTTGACCTATGTTCATAGATGTCTGTTCCCAGTAGCAATGATTCTGCAATAACAAAACATGTGCCATGTCTTCATAATGCAAACTCTGTACTTTTGTAGTTATGTCACAATATTACCCACAACTATATAAGAGGTTGAATTTGTACTGAAATGTCATAAATTATGCCCATGATTTGCTGCCCCCCCCCATTTAAATTTTGTTCTCACAAACTAAAGTCTCTGATGCCTTATGATGGAATCTTATGATGGAAGAGGCTGTACTTCCTGAGAATGCTCAGGAAGATAAATCTATCTCAGCATCTACTTCTGTCCTATCGCACCACCATTGAGAGTGTCCTGACATACGGCATTCTTACATGGTATAGGAGCAGCTCTGTAGCGGACAAAAAAACTCTACAGAGAATCATTAAAACTGCCCAGAATATCATCGGACTCCAGCTACCAGCCCTGGACAACATCTTCAAATCTCGCTGTTTGAGGAAGTTGCATAACATTCTCAGAGACTCTTCCCATCCTGCTTACAATCTTTTTGGACTGTTGCCTTCTGGCAGAAGATACAGAACAATTAAAACTCAGATCACACATTTTCTGAATAGTTTTTATCCCAGAGCTATAATTGCACTCAGTAATGAACTAAAGGGCCACCATCAGTGAGCTGTTGGACAGCATTACTTAGTCTGTTGCGTGGATGTTTGGGTGGTTTAGGGGTGGGGAATTTGTGGGGGGTGGGGGGGTGTTTGGGGATTGTTATTTGTGTTGGACCTGGTCTTTGGGTGTTAAGTGAATTTCGTTGTATGGGTATACTGTGTATACACGTACAATGAAAAATAAGGTTATTATTATTAATCTAGCATAGAATTGATCTTTTATTGTATGTGTACAGATTAACTTTTATTTATTTATTTATTTATTTACTTATTTATTTATTTATTCAACTTGTATGCCGCCTTTCTCCGAAGACAAGTTGAACAAATAAATATTTAGAACATACAACATAGAATAATAGGCAGGAGGAGACCTTGGAAGTCTTCTTGTCCAACCCCATGCCCAAGCAGGAGACCCTATTCTGGACCAATGGCTGCCCAGTTTCTTCTTGAAACTCTCCAGGGATGGAGCACCCAAAGGTAAGCTGTTCCACTGATTAATTATTCTGTCAGGAAATTTCTCCTTAATTCTAGGTTAGATCTCTCTTTAATGACCTTTCACCCATTTCTTCTTGCCTGGCTTCAGGTCCTTTGGAGAATAGCTTCTTCTCCTTCCCTTGCGCCCGCTGCTCTGTTGCCCATTTTCCATTGCAGCGCAGCGCCCAGGATCCACTTTGATACGGGGGGGGAGGGGTAATTTAACAACCAGTCTGCTTGAACCAGTGCGAACCAACTGAATCCCACCATTGATACATGACTTGTACAGATGCATTATGTACATCTTTCTTTCTTTCTTTCTTTCTTTCTTTCTTTCTTTCTTTCTTTCTTTCTTTCTTTCTTTCTTTCTTTCTTTCTTTCTTTCTTTCTTCTTTCTTTCTTTCTTTCTTTCTTTCTTTCTTTCTTTCTTTCCTTCCTTCCTTCCTTCCTTCCTTCCTTCCTTCCTTCCTTCCTTCCTTCCTTCTGTTCAATTGTATCCAATTTTCAGAGACTGCCCAGATAATTTCCTGCCATTTTCCTGGCAGGAAAACTCCTAACCAAGAGTTAGGCTGCTAGGTATCTTTAATTTATCTTGTGATTAAGGGATGCTCACCTCAATCAGACTGTATACTTATTAATTAAATAAAAATGGAGCAGAGCAAACACAGACGGACCATTTCTGTTGCACATCCAAAAATATTCTATTGCTGAAATAGATTTCTTTATTTCTGAAACTTTCTAGATCAGCAGACTGCAAGTTGTAGTCAAGTATTCGAATCATCCTCTTTAATTAAGAAAGCATTTATTAGTGCAATTCAATGTTTTGCCAAAGTTTTATCAAAAATGTAATACTTCCATGAAAACATATTCATTTCCATCATATACAATTGTTAATAAAACACTGCAAGTGTATTCTTTGTAATAAAGTATTGAAATCTGACTATATAAGTAAGAGATCACTGCAACTTTTTAGTGCAATGCAATTTACACATTTCCTTAGAAATAGAACATTGTGGTAATAAATTAACAAGGAGGTGAGGGAACAAACTCATGGCAATTTAAATTAAAAGCTTGTTAAGTGCATACTGTTATATCATACATTCACTATCATACTTCCCATCCACTCAGTCTTTATCTAAATCCAATCTCTGCTTTCTGTTCCTTCTTCCCCCCCTGCTCCCGTATCCTTACCCCACGTGATTGACTGTTATCATTTAAATTACCATTTCATCTTGAAGACTGATTGGAACTTTCATCAGGTATTTGAACAATTTAGCAGAGATGTACACAAAATTGGCACAGATAGACCTCATTGGATTTGGGACTACGCTTAACACATATTCTGACCAAATACTGATTATTAAAAGACAAAATATATATATATAGAACGTACATGAAAATTTTGACACTCTTTTTCAAGCAAATACAAAAAAGATATCAAGTGCAAAAAATATGCTTTCTTGAAAAGACTATAAAAAATGAAGTACGTAATAATTTGTAAATCTACAAGGTAAAAAATGCCTAGCTAAAGAGAGCAAAGAAAGCAAGGAACACATTTTTAAAATAAACTCACTTCATTCTGACTAAACATTCAGAAGTCACATTTTGACTCCCCAAGAGGGACACTTCAGGTACTTTGTGCATGTATTTCGAAACGTTAAATAAGAACAATGCAATGCTAACTTCGTAATACAGACAGTCCTTGACTTACAATCACTTGTTTAGCAATGATTCCAAGTTACAAAGGCCTTGGAAAAAGTGACTTACAACCTGTCCTTGAAGCTACAATTGTTGCACCACCCCTGCAGTCTAGAATGGGACAACTCACCGCCGCCAACTCACCATAGCTAAATTTCTGCGGGACAATTCGCCATGGCCAACTCACCGCAGGACAGCTCACTGGGAGACAATTTAACAATTCAATTTAATCATTTAAAATAAATTAAAAAATAGTTTAATTTTTGTCATTCACAGTTCATTCTGTCCCTCCTTTTGCATCCTTTCTTCAGAGATTCTATTCCACAGTTTCTTTGATAATAGTGTAACTCTTGTCCCGTAGCGAGTTGTCCTGCGGAAAGTTGCCGTGGTGAGCTGGCCATGGCGAACTGGCTGCGTCGAATTGTCCTAGACCCGTTTGCAGTCAGATTATTGCAATTCAGGTACGTGGCAGCTGGTACTGATTGCAATTCAGGGGCATTGCGCGTGTAATTGTTGCAGCATCTTGTGGACACATGACTGCAATTTACAACCTTCCCAGTTGGCTCCCAACAAGCTAAGTCAATTCGGGAAGCCAGATTTGCTTAACACACATGATTCCCTTAATGTGATTCACTTAATAACCATGGTAAAAATGGATAAAATAAAGTCCGGTTACATCATGACTCGTTTAATGACTATATTGCTCAGCAACCAAAATTTCAGTCCCAACTGTGGTCGTAAGTCTAGAACTATCTGTACTGCTTTTTGCTTAAGCAGACAATTAAGTGCAATATATTTAGTGACAATGATAAGTACAGAAGAATAAGAATAGCAAAGAGCACTAAAGTTGCTCTCCTAAAGTTATATTTACCCAGCCAGCTGGGTAGGAGATCTGAGCTATTTCTTGAATGGGATTCAGATTGATCTGACATCAATAGCAGCCATCTCTCCAGTTACCATCCCGTAGAGTAGTAAATGAAGAAAGAGGTTTCGGTGGCTGGAGAAAACTGTTTAAAAAAACAAACAAACACACACAAGATAAGCATAAAATAAGGCAAAGTTCCATGAACAACTAAGCACACATGTATTGCTATTTTCTCCACAAGCTGCAGTTGACATACCTCTCGGATGAAATCTCGCAGAACGACCTTCTCATTTTTAGCATCATCAGAAGAAAGATTTGATAGAACATACTGCACGCATACTTTTAATTAAAATAACTTTTTAATGTCTTTTCAAACATGGGACAAATTTGTCTTCCCATTCTTTGCCCAGATTTGTCCAGATCCACAAGACACTTCAAATGTTTTACCGGGTAGAAAAACTGAGCAGTTTTGTGCCAGGAGTGTGCAATCTTCTCCTGAAATGAAGCTACTGGAATTCTCAGGTTCCTTCTTAAAATGTTTAACATTGTTCTTTTGGAAATTTCCCAAACTGATTACAGAGTTAACCAGTGGTGAAATCCAAATTTTTTTACTACCGGTTCTGTGGGCGTGGCTTGGTGGGTGTGGCAGGGGAAGGATATTGCAAAATCTCCATTCCCACCCCACTCCAGGGGAAGGATACTGCAAAATCCCCAGTCCCTCCCTACTCCTGGGAGAAGGATATTGCAAAATCTCCATTCCCACCCCACTCTGGGGCCAGCTAGAGGTGGTATTTGCCGGTTCTCCAAACTACTCAAAATTTCCCCTACCGGTTCTCCGAACTGCTCAAAATTTTTGCTATCAGTTCTCCAGAACCTGTCAGAACCTGCTGGATTTCATCCCTGAAGTTAACCCGTTGCTGATTATTCCCCCCCCCCCCCCATTACTCTTTTCATATAACTGGTCCAGCAAGATCCCTTTAACTGTAGATCTTTGGAAAGTAAGAAACTTTCAGTAATAGAATTTACTAGAAAATCTGTAATTCATTGGGCCATCATTTCAGAGATATTTCCTTACCTAAAGACAGTAAGATAATAAACACAGGCAGGCAAAATCGGTTGATCTTGACAATTAAGCACCTATTAGCACTTGGATGGAAGACTGAGAAAATTTTTAAAAGTCTGGGAGATGGCAAACCACCTATACTGTTTTCAAGAAAAGTGTCTGGATATGTCCATATAATCAACAAGGAAGGAAGCTTGACTTAAAATTTCGTTACTCTCTCTCTTTTTTTTAATTGTATGTTATGGAGGTAAGGTGAAGCAGAATGGGGTTTAAGGGAAGGGAGGCAGGTAACAGCCCTGGGCACTGGTATTGTGTCTGCAGCAGACCAATGCAATCAGAAGTCAAAATACATCTGTTTGTACTAGTATAGCTCCAATTAGAGTAGAGATGAGCTGAAATGGGGTTTTTTCCCTAGTGTTGACAAGATGTAGAACATAAAATGTATATTAATGGTAGGGATCAGGTCAACTGATCATTAGCATTATTTTCTAACAGAGGGAAATTATATGTATAACTATACTCCTTCCCTTCTCCTCAAGAACAATTAGCCGGGGCTTGGAAGAAAAAATATATGGCATATACTGTATCCGACAGATTTTTCAATTGGATGTGGCTGTCTGGCCATGTACGCTTCACCCTGGGGCCCCCTGCTGTAGCCAACCCACCACTGGTATTTATCCTTGATTGCCCCTCCACTAGCATTCTGGACACTGAGGGACCAGTGGCAGGAGAGTAGTGCTGGTGGAGGGACAGCTGAGTATGAATACTCACAGTGGGTCCGCTGTGGCAGGGGGCCTGGGGTGAAGCAGGCACGGCCAATTGTCCTAAACCTCCAATGAACAACTGAGGCACATGAGAATCTGCTCTTCTATTGGTCCGTTTCTTGGCAAGTCATAGATCTGCAGAGTTTAGCTGGTCTATATCACATGCCTCCGCTTAGCATTGCTGGTCAGAGTATGAGAAACTGAGTACAGGAGCCTTGCTGAATATGCCTCAGCCAGAGAGGGATCCTTGGGTTGAAGACTGATCACCAGTATCAGGACTAGTCCTACTTCCTCACCATCCTCTATGAAGGGTCAAAATATAGATCTCATACATCATAAAAGCAGTTCCTACTATCTCTTGTGCTTCTTTACCTGTGCCCCTTCCTTTACCACCCAAGCCAACTCCTCTGCCAATCTAATTTATTTATTTATTTATTTATTTATTAGATTTTTATACCGCCCCGTCTCCTGAAGGACTCGGGGCGGTGAACAGCCAAAATTAAAAAACATACAATATAAACATTAAAATACGTTTAAAACAGAATTAAATCCAAAATGGCTCCCCAGTTTAAAACGCCTTACCCATGACCCTATAAATAAGACGAATTTAAAATTTAAAATTTCCACATTTAAAAAGGGGGAAGATTTAGGCCAGGCCAGCTTGATAAAATAGAAAAGTCTTAAGCGTGCGGCGGAAGGAATGTAATGTATGGTCTTCTTGTTTATTCACTCAGTAAAGACAGGAGTTAATCCTTTTCTCCAAGGAAAGACATCACGATAGCTAATGTCAAACCAGCTGCTCAGTTAAAAGAATTCATACCTTGCCAACACCAATTTATTGGCTATAAAACCAAAGGCAGTCCAGAATTAATAGGGTAACAGCACAAACCAACTGAAAACAACTATTTGCCCAATTATCTATCTATGGATATCGATGTTTCCCGTTATCTACTACTACAGAGAGGGACTCCTCAGGGTGCCGTCGGCCAAGTTATGCTGGCTGGCGACACCCAGGAGGAGAGCCTTCTCTGTCGGAGCCCCTGCCCTTTGGAATGAATTGCCCCCGGATATTCGTAACATCTCTGATCTCCGGGTCTTTCGCTGTGCCCTCAAGACCCTACTGTTCCGACAGGCGGGGCTGTCTAATTGAATGATTGTAAATTAGGTTTTAACTTTGGGTTTTAAAATTCAGCCAAAACTATTTAATGATTTTAATTAATTTTAACTATGATATTGTATATTTATGTTTTAATTTTGGCTGTACACCGCCCCGAGTCCTTCAGGAGGAGGGCGATATATAAATAAAATAATAATAATAATAATAATAATAATAATAATAATAATAATAATAATTTCCCAACTGGTGATCCCATGAATGATTTTTGCATCTTTTGCATGTAAATCTCTGATGACTCAGTTCTCCAACATAGCATATCACTAACAACCTCATATCCATGTCGACACCGAAACAAAACAGTTTGTGTTTGTTTTGATAAGAAGCTGAGAGAAGATCAGATTCTCATAGGGAAACTCCCCTAAAAGGGATGAGATAGACTAGTATCAGTATCAGATATCAAATCAAAGTTAGAGGTGGCTTGTTGGTTTCAATAAACCCAGTACGAGCCGATAAACCCGAGCTGGATTAATTTATAGGTAGGTGGAAGAAAGAATTGTTTGGATGCTCCTGGAATTGCATAATGAAGAGTCATGATGGGTCCTTCTCAACAGTACAGAAAGCTCTGGGTTGAACTGAAGATGACAGAAGATAATTAAAATATGTATATGCCAGAGATGAGTCTGCAGACAATGAGCTGCCAATCTGAATGATGGGTACCCATTTATGTCAAGTGTAAAGATGATGTATATGCGTTAACATGCATGGAGTAAAAATGCGACGCGTGGGGGGTTTGGAAGCAAAAAATGGGCCCATTTTTTGCAAAAACGGGATGCACAGAGGGTTTGGGGGGGCCTGCAAAGTGCTCCTGCGGGCTGGGGAGGGCAAAAATGCCTGTTTTTGGCCTCCCAAATCCCCCACGCATCATGTTTTTGCCTTCCCCAGCCCCCAGGAGCACTCTGCAGCCCCCCCCAAACCCTCTGTGCATCCTGTTTTTGTGAAAAACGGGCCTGTTTTTGGCAAAAAAGGGACATGTGGGGCGGGGTTTCGGGAGGCCAAAAATTGCTGTATTCGGTGTATAAGATGCATCATCATTTCCACACTCTTTTTTGGGGGGTGGGGTGTCTTATACTCCGAAAAGTACAGTACTTGATTTATGAAAATTCTTACTCGCTTAGGCATCTCTAGACTTCATGACAGAACTTCAGGGAGTGGGAATTATTCTTTAAAGGTTATAAGCTTAATTTCTCCTTCAACAAACATATTCTTACCTTCGAATTGGCTGTGCAATTTTGCTCCTAGGTATACTGCTTCCACCTATGGCCAGGGAAGGCCTAGGAAGACTACTACGAGTTACAATATTTGTGTTTGCAGTCTTGTTTGGCACTGGAATGCTTGTACTGGAGTGCATTTGCAAGCTACTACTGGACAACGCAAGGCCACTGCCGCTATTACTTCCTTGAACTGTTGGACTCACATAGGCCATAGCTTTGAGGGGCTGCCTGGCAGATATTGGAAAGTGTCCCACGCTGTGGACTCTGTGTTGAAGTTGCCCTGGTGAAGGAACTAGAAAGAGGAGAAATAAAAAAAAATTAACTGAGAGCTATAACTGAAGAGAAATGTAAATAGTTCCTGACAGTGATTTCACATATTAACACGAGGAAGTAAATTATTTAAACAAATGTAGTATGTAAAAATGTATTCAGATGCTCAGTTATTATGTAGTTCTTTCCTATTGTATTTGGTCCCTTTTGTATGAAATTCAGGCATGCATATCCATGGGGAAAGCAAAGGGAACAGATGAGAACACATATATTGTATCAAAGCCTGTTAACAGACGCACAAGTTGTGATGCAAATACTTAAGGGTGAGCTTTGTGTCATAATGACACTGCACGAGTCATCTTTTGGTAAATGCAGATACTTATGAGTTTGGGAAAATATTTTAAAACCTTCAGGAGGAGAAAGAGAAAAACTGAAGAAATGGTAGTGAACAACACCATTGGATTGAAATATTTTCATATCCAAATCATGCTGAACAACTTGAAAGTTGAAAGCAGAAAACCTCCTAGCATCCTTTAAATTAATTATAAAATAAAACTAAATCTGGAATCAATTTGCACTGGCTTGAAGTATTAAGTCCTACAATCATCATTCATTGGATCATTGTCTCCTGGAAATCAAATCTTCCTGGAAATCAAATCTTCCTGCATTTGGGGATTTTACAACTATGTTAACAATAAATGCATGGAAATAAAATAGAAAAATCCCCTTGTTGGGTAGTTTTTAGGAATCCTAAATTTATTTTAGTGACAGAAAATAAAAGTACATTTAAAATAAGAACAAGATAATCTCCATTAAACCATTTTCCTGAATATAAATCTTCAAAGTAAAGTTTCTCTCAATTTAAATTTAAATTTAATTCTTAATGACTGCCTAGGAACAGAGACACAGAATCTGTAGATCAGATAACTGGTAGGGAAGTAAGGGAAGTAAATTGTAATCCCTGGAGCTAAGATCAAAGATGTGTCAGAGAGGCGTGCCAAAATAATCAAGCCCATCAATTATTATCCTTTTCTCTTCTTTCATGTTGGGATGAATGATCCAACCCAAAGCCTAGAAATAATATTTAGGAACTATGAACAACTAAGCAGGAAAGGGAGCAATGTAGGATACAGGCAGTCTTCTCTTCCATACTGCCCCCATAGATCAATACCAAACAAAGGAAGCAAAGATTCTAAAAGTAAACCACTGTCCCAAAGGATGGTGCCATTAACACAACTTTGCATTTCTAAACTATGGTTTACATTATCTACAAGAAGGGCTTCTGGCAAGAGATGGGCCGTACCTAGAGGTGGGCATCACATAATGTAACAACTAGTTTGCCCAGAACCAAAAATGTGAGCACGTGCTTACTGCACTCGCGTGCGCACCTTCCACACATGTGCGCGGCAATAAAAACACAGTGATTATATAAGACAGGATAGCGCCAGGGCTTGTGGGCGGGCTCAGCCACTGCTCAGAACTACCGGTTCACCTGAAACGGTCCAAACCAGCAGCAATCCATCGCATAACAAAAGAGGAGGTACTTACATACATTGTATATAAGTAATCACTCCACCTCTATAGAAATACACGATATCAAGGATGAAAGCCCAATTGAATGCATTTGGGTCAGTGATGAAATCCAAATTTTTTACTACCGGTTCTGTGGGTGTGGCTTGGTGGGCGTGGTGTGGCTTGGTGGGCGTGGCAGGGGAAAGATACTGCAAAATCTCCATTCTCACCCCACTCCAGGGGAAGGATACTTGAAAATCTCCATTCCCTCCCCACTCTGGGGCCAGCCAGAGGGGGGTATTTGCTGGTTCTCCAAACTACTCAAAATTTCTGCTACCGGTTCTCCAGAACCTGTCAGAACCTGCTGGATTTCACCCCTGATTTGGGTGAATATTAGAGGAAAAAGAAACGATACTGCTATAGGTATATACTTACAGGCCACCCAACCAAGTAGAGAAAATAGATGAACATTTTGCTGAACATTAGCTACCAGTAAATGAGATGTGCAAGAAATATACCACTGCATGTGGACTTTAGTTACCCTGACATCCTGGGAGACAAATGCAGCAAGTGGGAGATCTTTTATTTTATGGCAGGATGCCAGCATACCATAGAAGCTGAAGATGGCAGATCTGACACACAGTTACCAAAGAGCATTCTGACAAACTGAGGGACAAAAAGGGCAAATACAAAAATGGAAAGAGGGGCATAAAACAAGAACAGAATACCAGCAAATAGCCCAAATCTGTAAGGAAGGAGTCAGGAAGGTTAAGTTCAGAATAAACTACTGGGATATCCATATGGGACATACCTGGTGTCAAATAGGGGAGTGACGTAAGGGAACACACTGGGAGTACTGGAGGCAGAAGACCCAGTAGAATAATAATGCAGCAGCAATGTATGGATGGAATGGGACAACTCACTGTGGCCAACTAGACCTCACCACCTTGCCATATCCAACTTGCCTTTGCCAACTCACTACCCACTTACTGCAGGACAACTTGACATGGCTAACTTGCCATAGGAGCTGGCTGGTTAGGCAAATGAGCAGGTGGGCAGAGTGTGGTGAGATGTTGTACTGGGTGGGTGGGCAGAAGGAGAGGCAGGCGGGTGAGCACAATCCATACCACAATCAATTTGAAATAATTCAATGAAACTTCTAAAACTTTGCTCCAGATGTGAAGCAAAATTTGTTTTCCACTTTGTGCACACCCTACTAGCCTCTTCCAGGGTTAGGGTTAGCCTCTTCTAGGTCAAAGACTACAGTCGGCCTTCTAAAACCATGCCGAAAAGAGCCAGAGCCAGGGGAAAATAGGCAAAATTTGATATGGTTCATATGATTACTTCTCATGTTTTCACTTTAGAATCACAATTTGGTGGCAACTTTTGGAAGGTTCTGGAGGCCACAACTAAGTTTTCAGAAAATGCAGCTATATATGACTCTTTCACTTCTTGTCTCTGTAAATGTCAAGCTACCTAGCATATTTGGCAGACTCAGATTTGAACAACAACCCCAACACCACTGAAGTCCTCCTACCCTTCGTTTCTGATAATGAATCAACTGCTCTGAGGAAACAATTTCTCAGGAAAGGAGGGAGGAAAAAAAGTCATACTACCTCTAATTTTTTTTTGAAAGCCACATATATAAACTTAAAGTGATCCTGAAAAGAAAAAATTACCTGAAGCAAGAACAATTTAAAATGCCATATTTTTCGGACTATAAGACGCACCTGACTATAAGATGCAAATTTAGAAGAGGAAAACAACAACAAAAAGTTTTTGGCCTACACGCGCCCCATTTATGGGCCCTTTTTTTGGAGCCTTTTCCAGCCTTTTTTCATCCTGTTTTCAGGGCTTTTTTCGTCCCATTTTCTGGGCTTTTTCCGGTCTATTTTCTAGGCTTTTTTGGGTCCATTTTTGAAGCTTTTTTGGCCCATTTTTGAGGCTTTTTTCTGCTTGTTTTCTGGGCTTTTTTTTTGGCCCATTTTTTCGGCCTGAAAAAGGCCCGAAAACGGGGCATGCGGAGGCCAAAAAACGGCCGGCGGATAGGCAGAGCTTTGGCAATATTCAGTCTATAAGACACACAGACATTTTCTCCTTTTGGGAGACAAAAAAGTGCATCTTATAGCCCGAAATATATGGTATTCTAAAGTAGTTTCCCTCCCCCCTAAAATCCAGGGCCTTGCTTGTTCGTATCAATCCCAATGATTTGCCGTAGGGGCTGTACAACAATTGGATCAAAAGATCCAAGATTAGGAAAGAATGGTAATCAAACAGCTTTCAATAACTAAATAAATAAATAAATAACACAAATATTTTCATACTTACTGCAAGACTGCATTCTGGACACCCCATTACTGGCTCCATGCAAGTTAGAATCAAAACTTAGACTGTTCCTCACAGAACCTGCAGGGCTGCTGTTTGTATTGACAGTAAGGGTACTTGGCATTCGAGCTAAATTAGGCATGCTTCTTCGGAGTTTGTCTGTAGCAAAAGTAAGACATTTGCATTGTCTGAAAAAAATCAGGCATGAATTTCAAAGAGATAGTTCTTTTGGATCAAGTCAAAAGGACCAATCAATGTGGGATTTATAGAAGGATGCAGCTGGTCAAGGAATAATGGCAAAGTCTTATCTGTTTTTATTGTGCCATGCCATTTTCTATGACAATATGTTAACTTAGAAAACTCCAACAATATTCTTTTCACACTAGGATCCCATTTTTGGAATGGGAGTAACGGTGATTGTGATATTCTAAAAAAGAAACAGGAGGAATTTGCCCTATGTGCCTCTGAAAGTTCAGAAAATTTATGCCAGTTGAAGCTAGTTCAATTCAGTCCCAAACATCCTCAACCTTCCTTACTTCGTGTTTCCTCTCCCTTCTGGTCCTAACTTGCTTGATTGGAAGAGTGGTAGAAAAGGTTATATATTAACTTCTACCTCAATTTTTGTGCCATCCCAACTTTGAAAATTAAATCTGTCCTAACCAACCAAGTCAGATTTATTCCAGAATCATGCTTTTTGCCCTTAAAGGACTTTAGCTGTGCTGCAGTCCCAAAATAGTCACAATATATGGTGAACAGATTTAGCAGGTTTCAAGCTGCATGGGCCTGAAGGAAGACAAAATGATGTATATCCTATGTAGAAATAAGCAACCTCTCAGATCATAAAATAAACTACCCTATTTCTCCCAAAATAAGACATCCCGATAATAAACCCAATCGGGCTTTTGAGCACATGGCAATAAGGCCAAGTGCTTATTTCAGGATTCAAAAAAATATAAAAAAATTATTGAGCCAGGAGTATTTATTAGTCAGTGTCACCCCAACAATATGTACAGTTTACTGAGATGCATGGATTTTTATCCTTCGTTTAAATTAAACTTTCTTACTTAATACCTTCCAACTGTATTAGAATATGACTCCTATCCCTGTTAGGATGATTGTGATGGCCGGAAGTGACAAAGTTGCAAGAGCTCCACTTGAAACAGCAAAATTCATACTGCTAAACACAGGAATCCTCTTCTTATGGGAAAGAAACTGTGCTTGTGTGAGGAAATAAGAATGGGATATATATGGAAAGAAGGAAATTACTTCCAGAATATTAAGCCTTTATGAACTATTTTTAGGTATATTGTCAAAAAGAGAACAGCCCATTAGTATTACATTTTGTTCAGGATCAGATGTAAGCTGATGTCAAGAAAAACTCAAGTCACACAAGCCAGCCACTCTTACCTCCATTAATTCTGCTTGATTGAGACTCCAGAAGATTTGGGGGTTGAGGAGAACAAAATGGCTGCTGTTGATTATTACTATAGGGAAAATATGGGGAAATTGGGCTCCTCCTACAGTCCCGTATATTGGAGAACGTTTGGGAATGGGAAATTCCTTTTTGGAAAGGAGAGCAACGTGTGAGTCGAGGCTGTGGAGGGGGTAAGTGGTCAAATTCTTCTTCCTCATCTTCAAGGCTATAACGATCAAATTCCTGATCACCACTGATCCCTTTTTTGATCAAAGGAAGCGATACACTGGAACTGTTTCTTGACACTGATGTTGAAGTTGAAGCATAATCTTGCCTCAGGCCTGTAAAGAAAAACAAGATCCAAAATACAAAGTGGTAAAAACTGGACTTCTACTAATAATATAAATATAATTGCATTATTATTTTAATCTTGCCGGACAAACCATGATCCAAGAACCAAGAATTACAGAGATTTCAGTAAGGTTTCTTTAATATGAGTCTGGGTAAATACATACTCTTGGAAACTGTAAGAGGAAATTTCCCACCCTTATTTATACCGAGTTCATTAAGACAGTCTGTCTGGATTCTTTGAAACACTTTGTCAGACCTGCCGCAAATTTAAACTTCTAAATAAAAATGATTCTTAGCTCTATTTGTTGAGAAAGGTATAGTTTTATCAGACGTCAAGTTCATCGAGAATCATGCGCCAAAATCCCCAAGTTCAACTTTGTCCTCCCTTAGCTGCCTCCCATCACTGCCTCCACCCACCCACCCACCCCCGATCAATCAGGTTCAAGCAAGGTGTTTTCAGAACGGTCACTTCAAGCACAGGTTGGTATGCAGCTGCATTCTTCTCCCAACCGCTGACCTTGAAACAGCATTCTGGGGAGAATACAGCAATTACTTTCGCTTTCCCCAAGCGGCGGTTACTTTCACTTTACCCCCAAGCATCCACCTTCCCATCCACCCTCCCCAGAGTCCATGGCACATCGTCACCGCATAATATTGAAACACAAGTGAATGTGAGGTGGCAGCTGGCCAGTTTCTTTCTAGGTTTCTTTCCACTCGAGTTGTCATTTAATGAGATAAGCTATCAGTGATTTTCCTGTCAAATTTTGATTATTTACATTCACTCTCTGTTCCATTCCTTTCCTAGAGCCCCACAATCTCTTACAATAGATGCCACTGGATTGGTAGGAAAACACGGCATTGCATAGCAATGCACCTGTATAATAATCTTCATATTGCAAATATTCTAATGAAAGCATAAAATACATATAGTGAATATAAGTAGTATAAATAAGATGATTAAATAAAAAGTAAATTCTGCATTGATCTATAATTTGATCAACTTCAATTGAAAATGAGTATGCATACATATTTAGCACAGAAGTGACACACTGCCATTTTATTTTTATGCAATTAGTTCACTCTCTACTCCAACTAGGTTTCTTCTCTTTGCAGTGGTCAAATGCCATATAAGTTAGGATAGTTAATTGTGATTTACATTGGCTATGCAATTAAGTTCTTGAAAGCATATGAGGATACACCTTTTTAAGGCTGTGAAGTACTTCATATGCAAAGGCAAATGGGAAATGTATGACTGTGTATATACAATACCAGTCTCCAACTCCTTCAATTCAATGCCTATTTTCCAGGAACACGCACCAATCAAAAGAAAAGCAATTCAATTTTGTGAAAATATGCAGATGTTTTAAGGAGTTACGGAGAAGAAGTATGCAAACACCATTTTCCCTTAAAAACCAAAGAACTGTAGCACATTTTCAAATTTTTTAAACTCATCTTCTACAAAATCATGCTATTTTGCAATGATCAAGCCTTTTTTCTCTTTAGTCATAAAACAAAAAAAACAACAACCCATCAACCCTATTTAGAATTAGGAAAATAAAAATTTCAACCTACTTTCTTCTTGTAGGCGAGCCATGATCTGGACATCTGTGAGGTCTTGTAGTTTATACCCCATGGAAATGGAATCATCTTCTAATTCTGAGGTGCTCAATTCACTGTCCAGAGATGACTGGGGACTAAGAGGAGAACTTCTAGAAATGCAATCTGTTGAAAAACATTAAAACCATAAACATTTCATAAAGATAACAGCACTAATTCATAAGTTAATAAACAAAGAATGTGACTGTTATATACAGTTACAATATGTCCGCATCATCCCAATATCATAATTTGGAAGGAAGACTCAATGACACTATAGAAAATGCACCAAACAACCCCCTGCCACCTAAGGATATGCATACTTTGCCGATGATTAGGAATGTGCTCGAACCACACCTGAGCACCACTGTTTTATGTTATTCACTGTTATTCATTAAATAGATCTTCTTGAACAAACCTCAAAAAAGATGCTGCTGCCTTGAGCTGATTCATTAAAATTCTTAAAGCAGGTGAATTCGTTTGCAAGTTTGCAAGAAGAGTGCAGAAAATGGCTATAAAGTGCTGGTGAATGGTTAAACATACCATGTTTCCCCAAAAATATGACCTACCCAGAAAGTAAGTCCTAGCTTGATTTTTACACGTGTGCCGAATATAAGCCCTCTGTCAGGTTTTGGTGTTGTCTTCAAATAAATTGCATTTCCAAACAAATAGTCTTTGATGAAATCTTTCATTTATTAAGCACGACAATCTGTCCCTGATTATGTCGTAGCCAACACTGACTTCCTGACCCCAAACCTTCCCTTTCCATTCCCCAATTCTCTGCATCTCATTGGCCATCTTCCAAATCACTCTCCCCATATCTACTACTTCAGCTCCCAGGAATGTCCCCCCTCCCATCCCATCTTCTAGGGGATATTATCTTCAGGGAAAATAAGTAGGTGAAAAGTCAAGCGTCCTTTTGCCAGCTGCCCCCTCTTCTCCTCCTTATGTCAGCACTGGAACAAATGTAGTTTGGAGTGCTGACACCCTACCCCCCAAAATAAGCCCTAATTAAGACCCCACCCACTCCAAGGTGCATAGGTAAAAATTAAGCTAGGATGGGGATGGGGGGTGGAGCTGCCCTACTACTTACTTTCGGACAGTTGCAGCCAGGCCTCACACACCCTGATACCTGCCTTGCCGGCCCATTTCTTCTGCAGCTGGTAAGGTTGGCAAGGCTTTCCTGAAGGCCTCTGCAGAGCTCTGGGTCGGCTCTGGATCTGTTATCAGCTGCAGAGACATTCAGGAAAGCCTTGCTTGCCACAGAATAAGTTCCTGAAGGCCATTGACAACAAAAAGGAGGCCGGGGGCGATGCACGCAAGTGAGGTGAGTCAGTGGATGGCATCCCCAGAAAATAAGACCTGGTGCCTTTTTTGGTGGCAAAAAATATAAGACAGGGTCTTATTTTTGGGGAAACACTGGTACTTCTTCCAAATCGTTTTCAAAATATTCAGTCCTACTGCAGTCCATTTAAACAGTATGTATTAAAAGTGGTATAGTAGTGATCTCTATTCATTAATTCAATACAAATTGAATCCTATAATTTCTTCACATTAAAAAAGTAGAACAAAGAAACAAAAATGAAAACTGCAGTATGGATTTATTTTAGATTTGGGATTCCTAGTTATTTTCTGTCTATTTGTAGTTTTCCTTACAGAAAACAGGGTCCTTAAATACACCGTCAGTAAACCTACAGGGCTTGGGCTTAGAGAATATTAAATTGCTATGTTAGTAAGAAAGTAGGCATTACCTGTTTGTTCAGGTGTTAATATTGCTTTGCTGAAGGTTTTAGGGAACGCAGGGCTGTTAAAGCTATTGCTATATGGAGTAAACCTTGCAACAGGACTATAAGGAAAAGCCAAGGATACAGATGAAGAGAAGAGACTCCGCCATCTATTAGCTGTTAGTGGGTACAGAAAAGAAAATATCAGTTTGTATTTAACAACAGAATGCATATCTATCAGGAAGTTAATATGACAAGAAAGCTATTGATGTATGTACATCTAGCGAGATACGTCTCACTGGAGGCAGGGAATTTTATTCCCAAACCAACTGATGTATGAGGGATTTATTAAATTTATTTGCTGTCCATCTCGCATCAAAACAAGATGCCATTTGCATGGGAGTTAATTCCACTGAACTGATAGAATGCCAATAATTTTCTATAGGTTAGAGGGAAAAAATCCTGTTTAAGATAAATAAAAAAAGAACCACATTATGAGGCAAAAGGATCAAAAAGGGGTAAAGTGTTGTTTCTTTTTTTAATTTTCTTCTCTCCCGTACAATACAATTTAACGTTGAACTTTTTAAACACTTCTTGGTACCAATATTTACCTATACAAATTATTTAAATTGAAATTTAACAGTAAAATAAAGGATGTGAGAATATTATGATTATGGACAAAATGGAGTATACATACCAAAATAAGAACTTTAAAAGCTATAGTTTTGTTAAACACTAAAATCATTGTTATTGCATGCAGAATAACGAAGTCGTGTTTTAAAAATACTTAAAAGAAATGCTTTATTAGTGAGCTTTTAATTATCATAGAGGAAAGGTTTTTGAAACACAACATTATTTGGATTAATTATTGATGACAAACTGGAATGAGTGAAGTTTCATGATAAACCACAGATTCACTTGCCAAGTAGCCAATATAAATTGCATTCCCCTTTTAAGCTTTTAAGTCAATAAATATAAATATTTCTTCTTTTCACCAAAATGAAATTTCAAGTTACATAAATACAATTTTTTTTAATGCCAACGTACACACTCCAGAGCAGACATTCTTCCATTATAATCATGCTAAATCCCAGGCTGCTGTACAGCCACGGAGGATAAAAATTTATGATGATTTAAAAAAAAATTTTTTTTAAAAAAATCAGATTTGTAAAATTTAAATCCGATTGTTATTTAAATCAGATTTTTTTTATTTTTATCAAATTTATTTTAATAAAATGCTTTTGGAGTAAAAATCTATCTAAAGATAGTTCTCTTTAAGATACATTAATAATTTAGTTTATTCAGCATGAAATGGAGCTTAGTTATGTAGCACGAGGCTGTATATTCTGCAATATTTACATTTTTGGTAATCTCATTCAATGAATCCAAGCTCTGCAAGCCAAATAGGAAACCTTCATTTTGTTTGCAAATAATAATATTAAAGATGCTAACTACCAGCAAGAATGAGACCTTACATTTAAAGAGCACCTGTCATTTTAGATAAATCATGGCAGTGCCTGTTAACTGGCATCCACTCACCTGCTGCCTGCCATGTCCCTCACCTTGTTGTGTCATTGCCACATCACCAGCCATCCCATTAAAATTAATGGAACTGTTGGTGAGTCAACAGTGGGTCAGATCAGGAGCTGTTGCAGGACAGAGGTGACAGTTGCTCTTTAAAAATTATGATTTAAATTGAGCCTTTTTACTAGTGATTTAAATCACGATTTAAATTGTGATTCAAATTGACTTGATTTAAATCAAGTCCACCCTGTGTACAACCAATGATGGACTGAATCATTAACCTAAATTATGCATGCACATATATGAAAGAGAACACTTTAACATGTCTTCTTGATCTTATTTAAAGAAAAGCCAAGAATAACAAAAGCCATTTTTAAGACAAATTTCAATCTTTTGTCCTTTTCATCAGAAAAGCCCTTTCCTTTAAAATGAAAAAGGTCTTTTGTGCCTTTGGACTGGTGTCATAACAGTCTGATCCAAGGCCATCTCCCTGTGACTCCCAAATGCAGTCTGCAGCCCACGTGTAAACAGCATTCATTATTTTGCCACAATTGCGCCTTTGAGAAGACTCACAGTGAACAAAGCTACTGTTTTTGCAGCTGGGATTCCAAGAACCTCAGTAACAAAAACACAGCATTTGTACAAAAAAAAAAAAAAAAAAAAGGACAGAGAGACATGTTCTAATCTAGAGTTTTTCTCTGTTCTTAGGGAAAGTGTGAGATCTATTCCAGTCAGTTTTAGCAGGAGTGCTTTCAATAGGCACAGGGAAGGAAAAAGACTATGGACCTTCTGCTCTTCTTATAAAACTAATTTGAGAATAGAACCGAGGAAGGAAATGTGAACGTCAGAGGTATAAAATGTGTTTTAGGAAAAGTGATAAAAGTGCAGTGTTCCTTCACTGACTTACTTACTTACTTTCTTTCTTTCTTTCTTTCTTTCTTTCTTTTTCTTTCTTTCTTTTTTTTTTTCTCTCTCTCTCCCTCCCTCCCTCCCTTCCCCAATCCTAAACAACTCAAGGTGGCAAATGTATCTAATGTTCCTTCCTCCTCCTATTTTCCCCTCATCAAGCACCTGTGAGGTGAATTGGATTAAGAGAGCGGGTTGGACTCAAGGTCACTCAGCTGGCTTTCATTGTAAGGCAGAACTAGAATTCACGATCTCCCGCTTTCTAGCCTGGTGGCTTAACCACTAGACCAAATTGGTTCAATATATCCATTGCCCCTGCTCCCAATTGATCAATGTATAGGTGCAGCAAGCCAGTCTATGCAAAACTGAATTTCTACATTCCTTTTCCTAACAGTTGCTACACCAGTTTCATGGCTCTGCTCCATATTTTGCACGCAATAGTATCTGAATCTGTCTGGGATGCTCTGTTTGGGGGCAGAGGTAAGACTTAGCTTGAGTAAGCTTCCACTCATTAATTTTCTGTCTTCCTTACCTTCAGCTCAAGTTGCTTCCAAATACAGTAACTCACTATTCTGTCTAACTTTGGATAAGCAGTTCCCTTTAGATAGCTTTTCACTCTTAAATACAACCCAGTTTTCTTTTTTGGTGCATTCACCTTTGTACAGAGTTTCCCTTCTGCTGATGTAATGTCCAATTTAGAGACTGACAGATTTCCTATCCTCTGTTGGGTGTTAACTTGTAGAAACCTATTGGTTTCTTTTTCTTTAAATCTTTCTCTGTTGGCATCTCTACTTCAATGAGTTGCCAATCAAAAGCAGGGCATTTGCAGGTTTACAAGATGGTAGATGCAACCACACAATTGAACAATGGCCTTTTAAAAATATATATATTTATTTTGTGCAGGACTTTGTGCAGTTATAGGTACCATCTTGACTTTCAGCTAACTTTGCATCCAAAGCCCTTTGTTAAAGCCATTATTTTCTGCTTCAGGTTGAGAACAAAATTTTCATTTTCTCTTTGTGGCAGCCTCTCAAATACTGGAATACTGCTATCATGTCATCCCAGTCCTTCTTTTCTCCAGACAACCAAACCCAAATCCTGCAACTGTTCTTCATACAGTATGTTTTCATTTCCAGGCCTTTACTCATCTTAGTTGCTCTTCTTTGCACTTTTTCCAAAGTCTCAACATATTTTTGTAATGTGGTAACCAAAACTGGATGCAGTATTCCAAATGTGGCCTTACCGAGGCTTTATAAAGTGGTACTAATACTTCACGTGATTTTGATTCTATGCCTTTGTTTATACAACCAAGAATTCCTTTAACTTCATGAGAATTAGAGGGAATCCTATTTGAGCCGGTTTCTCAAATTATAGTTCCACCTTGGATTCATATTTTTTTTATCTGACTGCTGTCTTAGAGCAGCTCTTCTTCTTGTCCCTCAAAGTCATCCCTTCTGCCCATTACATATCAGTTGTTGTCTGGCAATTTGGACGCACTTCGTAATGATAGAGTTTGTATGGGAATTTCAGAACTTCATGAACATTTTTCATTCCTTCCCACAATCTGTCCGATTCAAGGTAGCTCTTCCAATGTATGAAATATTTTAAGTGTTCTTGCAACAAGAATTCATAATATAGACGAGACTAGATAGACTAGACTAGACTAGACTAGACTAGACTAGACTAGACTAGACTAGACTAGACTAGACTAGAATAGAATAGAATAGAATAGAATAGAATAGAATTCTTTATTGGCCAAGTGTGATTGGACACACAAGGAATTTGTCTATACTCCATCTCATATTAATCTTACCCATCCACTAAAAGTGCAGAGGAGAAGAAAGTGCTGAATATCAAACATGAACATGAAATAACTGAGGATATACAAGTTAAATTTCACTGAAGCAGGCAATTTGTAGATAGAAAGCTGCTCTGCATAATGGACAATAAACCTTTGAGTCAAGCTTTTTTATAAGTGAGAGAAATGCAAAAACGTAGAGGAAAGCCACATCAAATTCTCTATCACAGTCTTGGCACAATCTTACACATTTATACCCAGCCTTGGTCAAATCCAACTGTTTCTCTAAAAGAAACTATGCAGCCTGGATTACACCAGAAGCTTAAGGAACAGCTGAGTTAGGACTTCTACAGAGCAGGTGACACTAATGGTGTCCACAGACTTCTTGAAAAGAAGACATGCTGATAAGATAAACAGTGAATTGTTATAGACAAATTCTGCAAGAGGCAATAAATCAGTACAATTACCATTTGATAAGAGACATGGTAGCTGAATAAATGTGTTCCTATCTTGTCTGCTTCTAATTGGTTCCTTGGTCTTTGCCACAATCATCATTTCACCATATTGTCAATATTGCACTTATGTCACAAACAGTTATTCTGAATCAACCTTCTATCTGATTCTATTTATTTGAAGGTATTTTCCGACAAACAAACGAACACATTGTTGTATAAGCTAAGCGAGAATTTAAAAATGACAGTGGCATTCAAATGAAAACAACCATTTATAAACGTGCATCAGACTTTAGCCGTATTTCCAAAAGATAAGGATATCAAAAACACAACAAAGAGTTTTGAAATGTGTCTTAAAATCATGGGACATAAAACCAAAAATAATTCCAGAATCACACAAATTACTAATCCTTATTTTATTTCATAATATATATATATATATATATATATATATATAATATATATATATATATATATATATATATATATTATATAATATTATTATATTATATTATATTATATTATATTATATTATATTTATATTATATTATATTATATTATATTATATTATATTATATATATAATATATATATATATAAGGATAGCTCCATACAGAACAACATTCAAATGGCTAGTCTCACACTGGTACTGATATCTAACCAACTACAACCAACCAGAAAAGCTTTAGTTGAAAAAAAACAAAATAAATCTTAAGAATAGAAACTTAGAATTACCTTGTTCCAGCCTGAAGCACAAAGAACGCTTGGCAGCTTCCATCTCAGGGCTTGGATTATCAAGAACATGTCGACACCACTGCAGAGGAGTCAATGACTTTTCTTGCTGCATGATACCCTTAACAGGTGCAGCATATAGCCTAAATGGAAGCAGAGAAAAACTTTTAGGGAAGTATTATTTGTAGTGATGGTAGCTGTAATTTTCTACCTTTGGTGTTTGAATTACAAGTCCTAAAACAATACAATGCTTGGAGCATATTTTAAACGACGTTAGTTTTAGCCTTTCGTAAATCAGGCTCATGTAACTATTTACTCCTCCAAGAATGGAGATAATAGTGTATATCCATCAAGTGAAATAATATGAGCCAATAGTTAAGCTCTAAGCAAGCCTTAAATTGAACTTAAATACCATACGGGTAAATCCTCGACAACCATAATGGCACCAGAAGCTCCAGAATTTTAGTCATAATCCATTGAGGTTGTAAGTCAAGGCACCACGTGACAGGACCAATTTTACAGGGGCCGTAAAATGAGCCACCATGGTTGTAAAATGAATCAAATGGACGTTGTCAGGTCCAATAAATCAGGAATCAGGGTTGTTTAAATCAGTACAAGTTTATTCCATTTTATCTCTTTACAAGAATCTGAACTACTAATGGTCAAGGCAAATTGGTAGTAGATAAGAGTCAGTGGAATTCAAGGAGGGCTGGATTTAGATCTCTTGTGAGAGCGAAGGGACTCCAAACTGATTGCGCACTTGACCCCTCCCTGGGACTCAGTACCCATTAAAACAGGTGCCAAAACATGCTTTGATTCCAGGAAACAGAAAAAAATATTAGGAAGTTTCATTCTGGTTCCTCTCTGATTCCCTCAAACATAAGAGGAAAGGAAGAGAAAATGCAGTCAGGCTTGTATGTTGATGTTATAGCAGCCTATCTCACTACGATTGTAGTCTTTTTGTGGTGCCTCTTTCCTGCTCTGGGCAATCTCAAAGGGCTGACAATAACCTGGTCTATACTTGATCTACGTATTAAATATTGTATGTTAAAATTCTTACCCAAATCACTAGATGTGGCAAAGTCTAAACTGAATATATGGTTTAAGCATGTGTCAAACCATACAGGCACATCACAAAGGAATACAAATCTAAAAGAATTATTAATTTGACTGGTTAAGACAAAATCTTGAGGTGATTAGTGAAGAAACAAGAGTGAGAAGAATATGAGTGATAAGGGGTAGTTTGAGGAGGGGGAAAAAGGATGTATTAGAAAAGGAAAAAGGTAAAATAATTTATTCAGTAGTTTAGTCCATTCATTTAGTAGGTTCACTGCTGGAAATGACAAGATCAACAAGTTTTTGTGTTGTATAGAGTCCAATGCTATAATAATCTATCTGGGTCCAAGATTTTTCTTTATTTCATCTCTCCAACTCAAGAGATGGTCAATCCTGCAAGCATCTAAAAAAGGCTACCAATATGTCATCTTTGGGGGCCACCCATTGCTTTGCATATTTAAAACATTCCTGCCTATTCATAATTTCTTTCTGTGCCATTTTTATGACATCTTCAAATTGGTTCTGCAGTATATTTCTGCATTTCAGATTTGGTACCTGAGTGAAAATTTTAGTATTTACTCTTCCACCACTTACTGTACTGTGTACTCAAAGCTTCTCTATTTCAGATTTTCTTAGGCTCCACACTTAGCAGCCATAAGTTATTTCTGGTATGACTATGGTGCTGAAAGTATTTTGGTATTTTTCATTTATTGGAAGATTGGGTGGTAGAGGTAAATGTTTAAAGAGCCATGTCACTGTTCTTCAGCATGATATCTCTTAATCAACTGGGTGTATGGCATTGATTTCTTGACTAAAGTACACACAGGAGTTGACATTCTCTCAAAACATCCTAAGCAAACCATAAGACCCAACATCCCCAGAAGAAAAGAACAGGAGTCATCTACAACATACAATGTAAGAACTGCGACAACCACTCTGTAGGACAAACAGGCAGAACACATCCATGAAAACCAATTGGCAGTCAGAAGACATGACAGAAACTCTTTAATTTCACAGCGTATTGACAGATTTAACCATAGTTTCCATTGGGAAAATGTGACAATCCTAGACAATCCAAGTTAAAAAATGCCAGGGAATTTCTAGAAGCCTGGCACTCTGACAAATTGGCCATCAACAGACACATAGATATTAACAACATCTATAAGCTATGCAAAAGAGGCAATCAACCAGCCCTAAAGAAAAAAAGACTCCAGCACTTCTCCACCAGTAGTCAGCACTCAGATCAGCATAGATTAATTCCAAGGTTAACTTCAGACCAACTATCAAGGAAGCAATACCTCAATCAAGAAACTGCCAAAGAGCCATCAGTAAACAGCCCAACCAAACAATCCCTAAGATTGCCCCCCACACAGAGACAGGCAAGACACCAAAATATAAACTTGACAGCAACAGTAGCACAGATGATGTTACTTACTTAGGGTAATGAAATATCTGCAAGAAAAGAAGCAAGCTCAGAGAACACCAAGGACTCCTCATTTCAACTGTGAGCTACGAATATTCTCCTTTATTGGTTGACATTCTCTATTTACTCTTTAGCTACTTTCTTTTTATGGTATGGTTAGAATTAGATTCACAAGCATTGGGAGATTTTTCTGTTGATTTTCAGGTTTACCATGTTGAGTTTTTTTAAACACTACCCAACTTCTTAGATTCTGCAGCTGATGATTTAAAAAAAGTCTCTGGTGAACCAGTGGGGTTCCATTTATTGATAGGGATGCCTTTTATCTCCCCAGATGGGTATTTAAATTCCAGAATATTTTACGAAACGGAATTCTTAGCAAATTGTTCAACATGTTAATGGCTGAGATTCTAAAAAAAAATGCACTGACTGTATGATGTAATGAGGAATATGAAACTGAAATATAAATGGTATTTGATATTGGAAACAGTGAGGGATGTTTCTTCTTTCTGCACGAATTTACATGTACTTTTCTTTGGAAGCATTTTAAATTTTGCAAGAGGAAATATCAGAAGGTATGGTTGTCATGAAAGTGAAGCTGTATGAAACAGTATTCTCTTCCCAAACTTCTCTACTCCCTCTGAAAAGACTAAGGATTTCTCCTAAAATGACTGCAGTTTTTCTAACAATGGAGAAAAATCCCATCCGCTTTGCTGACTGTTGAAGTTTACACCTTTTTCTGCAGTATATCACAAATAACCACCTCCATTTTCATTATTTTTGCAGGCACCCAAATTGCTTTGGATCTATTCAGAAATATTCTAGGCGGGCCATACCATCACAAGGGTTGCTGACCACAGTACTGAAATCCACGTGCAATTTTTCCAAGCCATGAGATTTCATCCCTCCCACTGAGGCAGTAATATTACCCATTCGTTTTCAACTCAACTTCCATTTCAAGCATGTATGCTAAACTGTGAGCTCCCAGACTGGCTTTATTTGAAATCCCCAGCTTTTCCCATTTTATCAATTCTTCCCTACATTAGGGTAGAACAGTAGTTCATATAACTGTCCTATTTCAATCAGCATCAGCCTAGAATCTTAACCAGTGCACCATGATTATTTTTTTTGCACAACATAGTCAAGGCAATGCAGCAAAGAACGCAACGCTAACAAAATCTCAGTTCCCCCAGGTCCATGCTAAATTTCTTTTTAAGAATTTATAATCATTCCCATTTTAAATGCATATGCATATTGGTGCCTGGGATTTATCCACCAATCCAATACAAAGAGAAATCTTTAAAGCCCGGTGTTTCTAAATCTTTGTTTGGAAGCAAATGGAGGACTTGGGAAAGTAATGGTTGGGGGGGAAAATCAATGAGAAAAACGGAGAGGGAGGGCTGATGTAAAAAATAATAATAATAATAGTAATAGTAATAGTAATAGTAATAATAATAATAATAATAATAATAATAATAATAATAATAATAATAATTTTTAAAAATCAGAATCAAAGTGGATTTAGGCAGCCAAATGCTGGAAAAGCGAGCTTTGGAAAGCGCCAGCTGGATACAAAAAAGAAAAGAAAAAAAGAGGAAGGGGCTCTTTTCTCAGAAAGGGCCGCAGGGAAAGAAGAGCCAGGCGGGAGACAAGCCTTTGTGCGGGGAAAAGTCGGGCAAAGATACCCTACCAGGTTTCCTCCTCCTCCTCCTCCTCCTGGAACCGCTGCTGCTCTTCTGCCTTTTCTTCCCGGCCGTAGCCAGCCAGCCTCCGAAGATCCAGGATTTCCACCTCATCCAAAAGGCTGGCCGGGGGCAGGAGGATGGAAGGGGCGGCGAGGGCTTCGTGGGGTCCCCCGGTGGGGGATGGCTTGAAGTAGACGAAGGGCTCGGCTTGGCACACGAGAGCCGGCGCTGGGCTCGACCTGCCGGCTGGAGGGGAGCTGCTGCGAGGGACTAGCGGGGCGGCGGCGGAGGCTACCAGCCGCGGCTGCAGAGGGCTGCTGGGGCCCGGGCCAGGCGGCGAAGCAGGGGAGGTGGCAGCGGCTCTATTGCGCAGCTGCTCGTTTTGCTTCTCCAGTTTGCGCACCAGCTCCTGCAGCTTCTTCACCTCCAGCTCGGCGCTCACGGCGCTCACCGCACCTGGCTTCACCTCCGCCACCATCGGCTTCACCAAAGCGGCCTCCATAGCCGGAGGCGCCCTGGAAACGAGCGCAAGAGACTCCCTTTCTTCGCCCAAGGCGATCCTCTCCCGACAAGCGCGCTTCTCTTTCCCCGGGGCACCTCCCGCCACAACCAGCTACCCAGCCAGCCACCGCGCAGCAGCCAACAGCAAAACCCCAGCAGGAGCACCGCACCGCGCGGAGCCTCGGCGGGCAGGCACCGCGCAAGCGCAAGGAGGAAACAAAGCAGGGCGGGGAGACACCCTTGCGCTGCGCAGGGCGGGGCGCGGGGATTGGGAAAGGAGTCTCCTGCCCGAGATGAGGGAGCTGGAGGCAAAGCGAAGGGGTGGCGTGGGGGGTGGGGGGGACACGGGGAAGCCCTCCCGGGCTTCTCCTTTCGCCGAGCCCGTGGCGGGAAATACTCTGAGGCGTTTCTTTCCAGGCAGAAAATAAATGGCGCGGGGGATGGAATTGTGGCTTGCTTGATTCGAAGCGCGTCAGCCGGTTATTTTCTTCCAGAGGAGACCCCTTTCTCTTTTTGTGCACTGTATATCCGAACTAGACTGTTGTTTCTCATTGTCAACTAATATACGCGGGGTATATGCATAATTGTATGTATTTATTCTGTCATGGTTAGGTAGTGGATATTGCAGGTGGTGACCCTTTGAGAACTGTGTGCAACAAAAACATTCAAAGTGACAAAGCTATTTTTATCCTATCCTATCCTATCCTATCCTATCCTATCCTATCCTAACCTTCTTAGGTCCTCGTATTTGGTTTCTCCATGGGCATAAGCACATACATGGAACCTATTTTGCAAACCACAACAGTGTTGTGATATTTCCTGACAGTGACAACAATTAATCAGTGAACAGGTTGCCTCCAGAAGTTGTGGGTGCTTCAACATTGGAGTGTTTTTTAGGAAGAGATTAAATAGCCATTTGATCGAATGGTATAAGGGTCTCTTGCCTTGAACAAGAGATTGGACCAGTTGGTTCCAGTCCTGTCATTCTATGAACTCAACTGACTAACCTTGTCGAAGCAGGGAAACCTACATCCAAAAATGCTCAAGTTGCTATATCCCAAAACAGAAATGCCATTGTTGAACCAACAGAGAAAAAATATCAAACTCCAAGTAAACCTGTTTTTGATATGAGCCAAATATGAGCCAGCGGTGTGTGGCAGCAGCCCAAAAAAACCAATGCAATCCTAAATTGCATTAACAGAGGGATTGACTCAAGATCATGTGAGGTACTATTACCGCTCTATAAAGCCTTAATAAGCCCACATCTAGAATACTGCATCCAGTTTTGGTCACCACACTATAAAAAAGATGTTGAGATTCGAAAGTGCAGAGAAGAGCTACAAAGCTGATTAGGGGCTAAAACATCTGAAGAATGGTTACAAGAACTGGGCATGGCTAGTCCAGTGAAGAAAACGACCAGGGGTGACATGATCACAGTTTTCCAATATCTGAGGGGCTGACACAGAGCAGATGGGACCAATCTATTTTCCAAAGGACCCAAAGGATAGACAAGGCACAATGGATGGAAACTGATCAAGAAGAAATTCAACCCAGAAATGAGAAATTTTCTGACAGCGAGAACAGTGGAATGGGTTGCCTTCAGAAGTTGTGGGTGCTTCATCACTGGAGGCTTTCAAGAAGAAACTAGAGGACCACTTGTCAGAAATGGTATAGAGTCTCGTGCATGAACGGGGTTGGACTAGATGATTTAATTTAATTTAATTTAATTAATCATATTTCTATTGTTAAACTTCGCCTGCCACCAGCAGATTCTGTTTGAGTATGGGAGGACCGAAAATCAAGATCAAAACTTCATGTGTTGCAAACTAAGTAAATGTATGTATATATCACCCTTAATAGACTCAATAGTGGATGTTGGGGCTCAAAGAAAGCAATATTTTATTCCCTAAATCAATTACTTTAATGTCATTACTATGCAATTGACTTGTATTTAGTGGAGTGGCTGCCTAGCAAGATGGGTCATAAGTGAATATTGCTGACATTCAAGCTGTCTATAATCCCAAGTATGCTTTTTAAAATAAAGTCCATGCTGTCCAGTTTTCTAATATTTCCAAAGTGCATATTTTATGGGATGCAGATCTTCTTGCTCACTCAGCCATTACACCAAGATGCTACTTTAACTGAGAAATAAGGAGTGGGTGCTGCTGTCTCTGGCTGCAAAGATAATAAATTAGGAGAAACTTATTTAGACAATCAACTTCAGGAAGAGAGAGGAGGTCAGATTGCAACTGAACCACTGGAGGCAGAAATAATTGACACCTTTGGAACCTTGCCAGACTGCGAACAGAAGGACTTACTGAATATATTAGAGAACCTTACACAAACTTTAATAATAGTGCACAAGAATCCCTCCAGCAGAACCCAGGATGCAACATACATACACATGCATGCATGCGTTTGTTTGTTTGTTTGTTTTATATGCCACCCATCTTGCTATTTGAGGCAGCTATGAGAGGCATACATATCTACAGGTTTATACCAAATATCCCTGGAACCAAAACCAATTGTTTTAGTAGTGGGTTTCAATTTAGTTTGCTACCAGTTTGCTCGTGTGCGCACACAATGCTTCTGTGCAGAAACATCTGGGTAGGTGGGCGGAGCCTCCCACTGCCGCTGCTACTGATTTGCCTGATTCGGGGCGAACCGGTAGCAACCCACCACTGAACTGTGTGTATGAAGATACTCAAGGAACTTTAGAGTCAATCAAACATGTGAAATGGTAAGACAATGATTCAAATACCCATAGGAATAAAGCTCCAGAAGCCAACACCTATGTGACACTCCAACACAATAATTTTGTAAGAGGAGTTAGACAAAGTAGCCTTCAGAACCAAATCCATACTGAAGTTAATCAACAGTGTTGACAAAAATCTAACATGAAGATATCTACAATCAAATGTCCTGGAACATTGCTGGTTGCATGGACAAATGTATATATGAGAATTTTTTTTGCACTTTCTACAGGGTTATTGCATGTTTTTTCTCCAGAAAACTTGGTTGATGGGAAATAATGTTGGTAGAATACCAGCTACAGGTATTTCTTATAAATGGGTCAAGAGTGACTAAAAGAGGGGCTGAGCTAAAAGGGGCTTAATGAGCATTATATCTTGATGTAAGAATAGAAGAAATTATTCTGGGAAATTATGATATATAGTAGATGAAATTCAAATATTGAGGTTGAAATCTAAAGGGGAAAATGTTAATTTGTATAAATATTTATGTGCCACACAGATCAGAGGTAAATTGGGATAACCAGGAACAGTCCTTAACTGTTCCTGGTTAGTAACTGTGAGAGTAACTGTAAACTGTAAACAGTAACTGAGAGGGACCTTTAAGTCTTGGTGTACAATCGCTTAAACATGAGCCAGCAGTGTCCGGCAGCAGCCACAAAAGCCAATCCTTGGTTGTATAAACAGAGGCATAGAATCAAAATCATATGAAGTATTAGTACTGCTTTATAAAGCCTTAGTAAGGCCACACCTGGAATACTGCATCCAGTTTTGGTCACCGCATTACAAAAAAGATGTTGAGACTTTGGAAAAAGTGCAAAGAAGAACAACTATGTTGATTAAAGGCCTGGAGATTAAAATATATGAAGAACGGTTGCAGGATTTGGGGTTGACTAGTCTAGAGAAAAGAAGGACTTGGAGGGGACGGGACATGATAGCAGTATTCCAATATTTGAGAGGCTGCCACAAAGAGGAGAGGGTCAATTTATTTTCCAAAGCACCAAAGGCAGGACAAGAAATGATGGAAACTAATCAAGGAGAGAAGCAACCTGGAATTGAAGAGAAACTTCCTAATGGTGAGAACGATTAATCAGTGGAACAGCTTGCCTTCAGATGTTGTGGGTGCTTCATCACTGGATGTTTTTAAGAAGAGACTGGATAGTCTCTTGTCTGAAATGGTATAGGGCCGTGATGGCGAACCTATGGCACGCGTGCCACAGGTGGTACGCGGAGCCATATCTGTGGGCACCCAAGCATTGCCCTAGCTCAGCTCCAGCCTGCATGCGTGCGCTGGCCAGATGACTTTTGGGCCTTTCGGGCCCACTGGAAGTCGGGAAACGGGCTGTTTCTGGCCTCCAGAGGGCCCCCGGGGGAGTGGGGAAGGCTGTTTTTGCCCTCCCCAGGCTCCTAGAAAGCCTCTGGAGCCTGGGGAGGGCAAAAAAATGGGCCTACTGGGCCCACCGTGCCATTGCGTGCCAAAAGTGGGGTCGCACAGGGGGGTCGCACGTGCATGCATAGGGAGCAGGGCGCTTTGAATTATGGGTGTGGGCATGTGCATGCTCGACCCCCTCCCCCTGCTCCCCCCGCTTTTGGCACGTGATGGCAAAAAGGTTAGCCATCACTGGTATAGGGTCTCCTGCTTGAGCAGGGGGCTGGACTAGAAAACCTCCAAGGTCCCTTCCAGCTCTATTCTGATACGCTACATCAACCCGTAGGTATAGATATGCTAGAATAGAGCAAAGCCAGAACTGAAAAGTGTGCACTAAAAGTGTAACTCTCCCTCTCTTAGGTGCATTCCCCTGCTGGGCCCCATTGTCTAATCAAATTCAAAGATATTGTTTTTGGAACAGTTGCTTCACATGTGGGTTGGAATGCAGTTGTGGTCCGTTCTCAGCTGCACTATTAACCTCTTCCAGGATTGTGACCAATCCCAAAATTACCATTTGTTCAATGTTCAATGGTTTTCACCATGAATGGTCTTCTAGTACAAGCCGCTACTCAAGCAGGAGACTATATACCATTTGAGACAAGTGGCTGTCCAGTCTCTTCTTAAAAGCCTCCAGTGATGAAAGCACCCACAACTTCTGAAGGCAAGCTGTTCCACTGGTTAATTGTTCTCACTGTTAGGAAATTTCTCCTTAATTCTAGGTTGCTTCTTTCCTTGATTAGTTTCCATCTATTGTTTCTTTTTCTAGTGCTCTGCAAAATAGATTGACCCCCTCTTCTTTGTGGCAGCCCTTCAAATATTGGAACACAGTTATCATATCACACCTAGGTCTTCTTTTCACTAAACTAGCCATACTCAATTCCTGTACCTGTTCTTCATATATTCAACATGTTTTATATAATATAGTGACCAAAACTGGATGTCATATTCTAAGTGTAATCTTACTAAGGCTTTATAAAGTGGAACTAATCTGTCATGTGATCTTGATTCTATCC